TCTTTGCATCTAGGTGTTTTACGAATAACGGTATATAAGAGCGGTTTAAATTCTCTCTCACGGAAAACTACTGAATGCATTTTGCGTTTATATTAACATAGAAAACTTGTCGTATGGTTGCACGCGTTAGACTTAAAACTAATTCAGAAATCAAAATAAATCACCGTTAATTATCTATACATATAATAAAATTGTAACTAAGCCGAATCTGTACGTTAAAATATTTTTTGGAACATCTTATTGAAATAAACATTATTATCGATACAGAGGCCGAATCTATAGTTTTTAGAATGAAATGAAATTTAGTTTGGTGATAGCTGCTTATCCGGGTCATAACATATAGGATACTTTTTACCGCGGGAAAATAATTCATGTCTGAGAAAAATACAAAAACTGCAAAGTAAGAGAATACTAATATGTAAAACCTATGAATTTGGTTTTTAGTCGTCTGAACGCGGGCGGAGCCGCGGGCAATACTAGTTATAATATGTATATTATGTTTAGAGATAGAGTTCTGAGTAGCTTTCGCGGCGCCCGATACTTGATCAATAAGGCAAAAATGAAACTATGATAAGGAATATGCATGTGATTTAAATAAAGATGAAATATTTTTTTATAATCTTTATTGCTTTTGAATTAAATCTATATCAATATTTTTTTATATCATTTACGAGTATATTTGATTAAGAAAATAATTATTAAAAAGTGCAAATATAGGTGGGAAATTCAAATTAGTTGAAACGCACGCCATCGGTCAGATCGAATATGACGTCAAAGTACTATAACAACAGAGCGATTAGCGATTTTGTCGCTTCAAACTAAAGTGGTTATTTTTCTATGTACGATACTTTGCTCCAAAGTCCACTCTGCTATCGTACTAGGATAAATGAAATGACGAATAAATATTAAAAAAAGTCTTTAAATTATTATAGAGCAAAGATTTTGGGTGCAATCTCGCATATTCATTGAACACCTTGGCGTACAAAAATAGGAGGGCCGAGTGAGTCAATTTTAAATCTACGAGGATACTAAGTAATATAATTAAAAAAACTGAAGTCTGTGCTTTTTTTCAATCAAGCACTACACCTGGTTAAAAAAAAATTAGATACTAGCACCTCCAGAAAAACAAAGACAAATCTATCCCACGGGAACCGTACATTTCTCCAGGATAAAAAGTAGCCTATGTGTTATTCTGGTGTATGAGTTTTGTCATTGTAAAGTTTCATTAAAATTAATTCAATAGTTTTTGCGTAAAAGAGTAACAAACATCCATACATCTATACATCCAGACATACATACATCCTCACAAACTTTCGTATTTATAATATTAGTAGGATCTCATAAGGAGCTCGTCTTATTGAATTTTGGTTTTTACAAATCTTAACATAATACAGTTTTTTCAAACTGTTGACCTTCCTTAAAACGAGTCCATCAAATCGAGTAATACATATTATACGAGTAGGTATGCGATAAGAGTATTCATTCTATAAAAAATATCTTTTAATCCCTGGCATTTATCAAAGTGATTATTTTATTACAAATAATACTTTATCAAAGTAAAATAACTTATAAATGAATTTCCAATCTTATATATATATATATATATATATATATATATATATATATATATATATATATATATATATAATATTATAGATATAAGTATTTTAATATAATTTTTTCTAAACGTTCTATTAGTTTTTATCTAATTTAATGAGTCTAAAACTTATAAAAAATATATACAGATATGCATAAAAAAACACAGGTCAATGAAATGAAATAGAAAATAACATTATTTCGATTAAACTAATACAAGCACTTTTGAATCGTCAATTAGTTCACGTCAATGCCGCTTTCCATAATAATCAGAATATAACTATGTATAGGTAATTATTACATGCTTAGATGTGCAAATTCTTCATGAAATTATACTGCCGTCATAAGAAAGAAGGTTGTAACTAACAATTTCATGTGCGAATCATTTCTAACATGATTACAACTTGCCTTACGGTGAAGGAAAACATCGTGAGGAAACCTGCATGTCTGAGAGAACCTAGCAAGTTTTCAAAAGACATGTGAAGTCCGCCAACTCGCACTTGGCCAGCGTGGTGGACTATGGCCTTATCCCCCTATGGCCCCACCCCCCAAACAGTGGGGCGTTAAAAAGAGCTGAATACAACTGACAGTTTGGTCAAAATGACTTATATCATGGATATTCGGAATCAGCAAAAAAAATGCTACGAGATAAACTTACTCACAAAGCTCTAAGTCTTATGAATGCCGAGATACCATAACTATTTTAATCGTAACTACGTCAAAACTTGTAGTAATTTTGACGTAATAACACAAAACATAAAATATCTTAAAATTAACTCTGACGAAGTTACGACCTTCTTTCTGTCTTATGACGGCAGTGTATGAGACTACCCTCGAGATGTAACCGATCCTAACTATTAAAGTAACACCCGATACAAAAAACTATAAAAAGTAAGGAAATAAAATTTCTCTCTTGGCCTTATAACTTCATTAAAAGTACCTATTAATATTTTGATGATGAGCGCCCGCGCCGCCGCGTCGCGTCACCATGATTTGACAAAATATATAAATAATAGAATATTTAAAGGCCAAAGCTTACGATTTCTGTTTTGTTTCCGTTCATTACTTCCTACATCATTTTAAGTATAAATAGTATATAATTTAATACATATCTTTCTACTCATATAATAAAATTGTTAGTCGAATCTGTACATTAAATATTTTTTTGGAAGATCTTATTGAAATAGTCATTATTATCGATATAGAGGCCGAATCTGTCTGTCTGTGACCGTATCACGAGAAAACTACTGGACAGATATTGATGAAATTGGATATGATAATAGCTGGTTATCCAATTCAACATATAGGATACTTTTTACTGCAGGAAAATATCTCATCTCTGAGAAGTCTATACCAAACGTTAAAACGTAACTAGAGATGAACCCGAGCGGAGCGAGTGTGAGTCGCTCGCTAGTTAAAAATAAATAAGATAAATATTCATATAAAACTTTATAATTTCTTACAACACGTTTAATTCAACAAGGACATTAGCTACAGAACAATTTTATTACTTCCTGGAAAACACATAGTTTTGTTATGTAAGGACGGACTAGCACTGTAATGAATCAATATTTAAATAAGTAAATGTGTTTAAAGTGTCCAACTATTTAAATAAAAGACTGGCAAAACAAATAAAATGAAATCAGTTGTTGCATATACATTTGAGTTACACGAATTATAACAGGCTGACAAAAGTATTAAATATGTTGATTTAAATGTCTATTACACCCCAAACATTAGAGGTAATTTGAGTATTAGTTAGAACCTGGGTGATTGAACTTTGTTCAGAAAAGACACATATATAAATAAATTTAAAAAGCCAAAACCTTATATAAACACAAAATTTGATCCAAGCCATTACTTCCGTTTCTGAGATACATTAAATATAAATTTATACACATACAAGAATTGCTCATTTAATATTATGAGATACTATCAATGATTTAGATCCCCTTTCTAAGATAAGCATAAGCCCGTTATATATATTGAAAACAAAATATAAAAGCTACAATATCTTTAAAATGTGAGTATTAATGTATTATAACCAAATCAGAAAATAAAGAATCATTTGTTGACTACAGACTTCACATATGTAAGTCCCTGCATCATTAATGACCATAATTTATCTTCAAAAGTTAAAAACAATATTTTAAAAACATATTCTTATCATGTAAGTATATGATTCTTAATATCACATTACATGAGCGTAAGTGGGGTGTTATCAGGAAAAATAACAAAATATTGTAGCTCTTACCCTATAGGTACTCCTTATGTAACGGTTGATAACCAAAACATATTTTTTTTAATCAGCAAGACGTAAAAATTATGTAAAAAAAGAGTACATAATTCGTGTATATGTTTTTTGTGTGTATCTAACCTCCTTTATTTTTTATACAACAGCCTTATGACTTATACCTCAAGAGCGGCTTGAAGTAAAAGAAAAAGGTACTCTAACCTTTTTATTTTAAAATAACTATGATCAGCTGCTAACTATGATCATAATCTAGATTAATCTAGATTAAAATAAAACTAGTAGACATGACATTTACAATTACTACCTATTTATTGAGACCTAAATTGAAGTAAGGTCATTCTTCGCATACCTACTAAAGGAAAGTATTTTGATTTCATTCTTTATATAATTTTAGTATGCTACCTGCAGTTCAAAGTCCTATTAGAATTTCTTTTAATCATCATATGTATTTATTCAATAGCTTTAAAAATGTATATAATATGAAATTGAACACATTAGAGAGCTATTATTGACCCAGTTTTATTGAAATATAATTTGATTAATTACTAATAACATTCTTTTTTAACATTTATAGCACAAGAATTTAAAAATTACTGGTGGGTACTTTGGTTTTAATATATGTTACTTGAACTTTACCTCCGCATGTATAATATAATATATGCACATAATAACTAAATGAGAACAACAGTCTACATTATAAGTAGCAAGGTTTATTTTATCATTATTATTGTTTGTTCCTTTGTTTAAATATGAAACTAAATAATATTTTATTTTTATCACTGAAAAAAAAATTTATAAAAATGTATGACCAATACATCATTTCTACATATTTATTCACATCTAGTTTTCTTTCTTAATTAATTATAGAAAATGGAGACTTTTCGAAGCATGTAATGTAAATTTATTTAAACAGCCTCCTGCCTTTTAAATTGTTGTTATTAATGTATTTAAAGCAATAATATATATTATTGTTTGTATATGATATATCAGCACTACATTTTACATTTTAAATTGGAATTAAGGTCACAAGTTTATTATAAAGATATAAAATACATTCTTAAAAACAATAGCGAATGATCTAATTAGGTTGGTAGTAAAAGAATAAAAAAATATTGAAGCCGTTACAAAGTCTACTAAATAAAATACGTACCACTTTTAGGTAAACTTCTAATAACATTTACCGCTGCGTTGAATTTTTCTTCTAGAGACATTTTCGCACAATCACTCAACAAAATAACAAACGCACTTTGAACTTATATTATCATACAACACTTTAAACTATTACTATGGACGACATACTCATTAATTATTTATTAAACTGTTATAGACTTATGGAAACTAATATAAAATTGACAGAAAATTGACAAGCTGGGGAAAAACAACGTCGTCGGTCGCTTTTACGAAAAACGAAGGAGCAGTCGTGGCCTTGTACAAGAAAAAAGAAACGCGGATTGAATAACAAATCAAAAAAATAATACTAGTGTTGTATGATGTCGAGCTTTTACGTGTCAAAAAAATGACGTTTATAAATTACTTGAGATTAGATGATTCTGTTTTTCGTTTAATGGTACTTTTTGTCTAGACATAGATTATGAGTCGTAAAATGATATTGTTAATTGAGAATGAGATTGTGGCTATTTTCTTCAACGCTTCATAAAGTGCACCTTTTTAGACATTGAGATCTTGCAAAACGTTGTTACTGAGAAATTAAGACGTAACAAAGCAATTGAAGGCCCCAAGTTAAATAAAAACATTTATTTAAATGTACATAAATCAAAATAATTCCTTTCCTGTATATGAAACAGTCGGAATGCAATGTGTGTAACGTGTGGATGTGAGGAGTCGATGCTCGATAAATTCTAAAGACCGCATCACTTAATTCATTTACACTACAAGAATATTGCTGGTTGTAATATTGAATGCTACCTGATTTTAAAAGTTGATAATGAAATATATTTAAATAGAGTTTAATTATTTTTTTTAATTACTTGAAATTGTAAATAAATTTTTATAATCTAACTTATACAGATTATAAATGGTTATTATTGTGTTTCTCGATTTTGTATAGGGCAACGATATTTCCTTGTCAAATCGGATAAAATACCGCAGTCTCTTTTCCTTCACAAATTTCCTTTGATTAAGGTAAATAATCCAGAAATGCTTAATAAATCGAGATATATTAGTGATTTTTTAAATATATTTTATGATTACCGGTGTGTGATAATCGTTCTGAGCGAATTATTTCAGTTCTTTAGTATAATAAATGCATACTCCGCGCCCATTTTTGCGGCATTATGTAGAATCAATAAGTTAGATATTATATTCATTTAAGCCTGCATATTTCTTCTACTGTGTCAATAATGTATAAACTATAGTTTTTCTGCAATTTTAACAGTACCTCGAAAGTTGCTGAAACTTGCAAATAAATAAGATTCGTAGTAAAAAATCTTTAAAAATTATAGAAGCATGGTTTTCACAATATTTTTGAATTGTATGTGATGAAAATTAAATTATATTGTCTCTTTAACAATAAATGATAAATATGTATTTTATTACAACATTATAAATTATCAAAACTAATAAATAGTATCATATCAAAACACTAATATATAGTAGTAACCTAAGTTATCGATATGTATATCAAATTACATTTTTTACCTACCCATTATTTTCCCCCATTATCTTTTTAATAATTTAAGATTTTGCATTATTTTGTTTAGAAATAACACTAAAAGTTGAAAATGCCAGAACTGACAGAATTAGACAAGGCTACTGCCTCCATGACTGAAAAGCGCAAGGAAGAAACTGCTTCATCAGACAGTGACTCTGATGACACTATTCCAGAATTGGAAGATGCAGGTACTTAAATTTTGAAGAAACAAATCCATATTTAAAATTAGTGTATTCAGTATCTGCTATTACTATAGATAATGAGACACTTATTATCATACTAGCGACTCATCCTCACTTCATTCGGGTTCTTCCCTAGACGTGTTTTAATGGTTAGTATAGAATAGATAGATTATAATATATATTATATGATATAAAGCCTAAAGCCTTCCTCCATAAACAGGCTATCTAATGCACAAAGAAATTTTTCAAATCGTATTAGTAGTTCCTGAGATTAGTGTGTTCAAAAAAAGAAACTCGCTCTCTCTCTTTATAATATTAGTATAGATTATAATACAATATGGTCAAGCTAATCTGAAGTAGTGCAAAAAAATGAATGAAACCTTTTATGGGCTAATTAATATCTTTGAAGTTTGAAGTTGCTCACTTGATCTGTTTGGTAAGACCCATATGGTACTTACAAATTTGTCAAAATATGTTACTTTGGTTTTGCGACCAATAGCAATACTAATTTCATTTAATTACATTTAGTCACTGTTATTAAAATAATATATTTTACAATGTTACTTTTGTTCTATGTATTAAGTTTCAAACAAAGTTTTATTATTGCTTTTTGAATAAGCCTGAAAAGATGTAACTGTCCGCAAAGTAAACACAATAGTTAAAGAATCGAAATGTTCATATGACTCATGGAACAGGGAAACAGTAAAGTCAAAATAATACTTAGGTAGTAATTATATTTGAAATTTTTATTTTTGAAGTGAAACTTCATTAGAAACATTGTGGTTTGAACTCTATGAAACAAAAATGCGATATGAGAAAGAGACAAACAAATATATCGGATTAAGCCGGTGAGAGTATGAGATAAAATACATTAGACAGGAAAAGAAAAATAATACTGAATAAAATGTTATGTAATATATGTTAAATAGAATGTAAAATAACTTTTAAACTTAGTACAAAAACAACTAAACCTTACAATTATCCTACTCCTGATACTCTATAATATGTTCATCTCATTCTCTCGTAGCTTACTTTTCTGAAGTTTCACTTCTACAGTGTGTGAATTGCACACACATGCACATTTTTATTTTATCATTTACATCATTTTCAGGAGCACCAGGAGCAGGTGGCATCACCAATCCCATTGCTGGAATTGACATTGTGTCTAAAGCCAAACAGTCACGTGGGGAGAAGAAGGCTCGCAAAATCATGAGTAAACTTGGCCTTAAACCTGTAAGTCTCACATTATTTTCTTGTTTACAGTAAAGCTGTGAAAATTGGCTGTTAAAATTGATTTATTATTTGTTTTATATTTATTACTCATATATAGTAAAGAATGTGTAGTGTATGATGCAATTTTAAATCATGATATTTTTGTACATACAAAAATTTTTATTAAATAATAAGCAGCATTTGGTTTTTGTGGCTGCTACTATTAGATAATTTATCAAAAAAATGTCAGAATAATTAAAAAAACAATTAGGTTAACCACATGGTTGTAGCCATTTTGAATTTAAATTTTATCAATTTTTTAATATACTACATCTAATATTAATTCACAGTGTGCTAATTATTAAAAAATTAATATCAAAAAATTTACATTTTTAAAATACAGGTGCAAGGTGTCAACAGGGTTACAATCCGAAAGTCAAAGAACATTCTCTTTGTTATTAACTCTCCAGATGTATATAAGAACCCACACTCGGACACATACATTGTGTTTGGTGAGGCCAAGATTGAGGATCTGTCACAACAAGCCACTATGGCTGCAGCAGAGCGCTTCAAGGCTCCAGAGACGGCAGCAGCTGGTAATGAGACTGCAACTGCTGGCACTGTGAGTGTTATGTATTTTATAAAATTAACCTTTGTTTTTATAAAATTGCTTTTTGTAATATGTAATCTCCATTTTGTCACAGCATTCTTCTTGCTTGTATAATTTATGATTTTATTCTTAGTTGTATTGCTTTTGTGTAAGTATTTATATTTATGTTGACGTTGTTTTAGGAGTGTAAAATTGATTATTTTTCTTTTTATATTTATTCAAAAATGAAGCTATGTACATATCAGTATATATCAATTAAGCAATTTGCCTAACTAAATAATTGACGTTTCCAGACAGTGGCACCTATCGCGGAGGAAGAAGACGAAGAGGGTGTTGACGAAACTGAAGTTGATGAGAAGGATGTGGAGATAGTAATGACCCAAGCCAATGTGTCTCGAGCAAAGGCTGTACGTGCTCTGAAGAATAACCAATCGGATATTGTAAATGCTATAATGGTATGGAATTCTTTGTAATAAAGATTTGTGTTGCCACAAAAGTAAAAGAATTAGAATTATGTAAACTAAAAAACTTTCGTCTATACAGTACTAATAATAAAAAAAACTATTTTTAAAATGTTTGCCTGTCTGTCAGTTATGTTCCGGGTAATCTCTGAAACGGCTGATGCTATAAGGAGTAACTTGGCTAATTTTATTTAAGAAAAAGAAAAATGTTTCTGTACAAAAAAAGATTAAAACTCATGAAATTTTGAACAAAATTGTACCCTAGGCATGCACTTGAGCAAAGCAAGAGCGAGTTGCTGTGAGTAATGATAATGACATATTTAAAATACTATTCTTTCTCTTTGCAGGAGCTGACAATGTAGAAGTAGTCACAAGTGTTATTTTATGTTCCTAGCTTTAAGACGATTAAACAGACATGTATGTTGACATCAGTATATATCAAAATCCAAAATCAATCTCACCGTTGGATGGTTTCAAGGACACTGGGATTGTATATAGAATTATTTACTCCAATAAAATATGACTGGTCACTATGTTTTTTTTTTCACAAGATAGCAACCTAAACCCTGATAATTTTTTTTTTGGTTGTATTATAACGTGTATTCCCGTGGGAATGAAATAATCTCCCACAGTAAAAAGTCGCTCTCCAGCCCTTCAACCATTTTATTACCAGTTAGAACTAAATTAGTTATAGGAATGTATTAATTTATTAGACATAGGTATGAAAAAAATATGTCTTAATTTTAATGTAAATGAAATGAAACTATTCAAATAGACTTATTACAAAAGCACTCTTGAATCGTCAATTTAGAATTTAGAGCGTGAGTGTAGTCAGTCGGTGAAGAAGCTACCATCGGCTCGGGAAAGAGTTGAGCCCAAGAGAAACTCAACTGTTGCTGTTTTAAATATAGAAGTTATTACAGATGGCATGCATATAAATCAATATACATTAATTCCACATATACCCATTAACAAGTAACTAGAACAGTATTCATAAAATAATAATATGTATTCTAAATTTTATCTTAAAATTTTTGAAAAGGTAAATCTAGGACAGTTTGTGGAATCTTATTATTTAGGCCCATGAAGGTTTTATTCACCTTTTGGAGTTCAAATCTAGGCGTAACAAGCTTATTTCTGTTCCTAGTGTTTATTGTGCGTCTATCACTATTTTTAATAAGCGAGGAAATAACATATTACACAGTAGGTATATATTGTGATGAAACCGTAAGAATATTTTTTTTTAAAACATATTGCAGGGAATCACGAGCTCTTAGATCATAAATTAAATAGCCCGTACTGCTCTCTTTTGAAGAATATAGAATTAATTTTCACGGCACTGCCCCAAAGAAGTATTCCCTATGACATATGGGTAAATTAAAAAGTAAAAAAACTGACATGTAATTCGCCATTTTGTGGCGGCTGCCATCTTGACCATTTTCATCAAACATAGCTAATAACACTTCTGAGTTCCGACTAATTCACCTTTCAAGCAAAAAAAACAATAAATCGGTTCATCCGTTCGGGAGCTACGATGCCACACACAGACACGTCAAACTTATAACACCCCGTCGTTTTTGCGTCGGGGGTTAAAAATAACTAAAATATACAAGTAGGGCAGTGTTAATATCCGTTAGATTTCTAACTGCAAAGGTGCCGGAGCTGAGTTTACCTGCAAGTGTTGAGAGGAGTTCCACTGGAGCTTAGAATTTAATGTCTTACTCAAAAATACTGCTGATTCAGCTATTTCCAATGTTTCATTATTCGAGATTAGACTAAAATTTTGATTTTTTACGTTAGGCAATATAAATTCGACACATTTTGTTTTTTCTACCATTTAATACTAGGTTATTTAATTCAAACCAGCAAAGTATTATGCGACCATGCATTGTTTACTTCGTCATAATTTGGTTTATTTAGGTCAACTTTAAAATTAAGGAGGTATTACCAGCAAAGAGTACAATATCACATAATTTCTTTACGTAGGAAGTTAAGAGGCCTAAATACATTATGACCGTGATTTTTCAATTTAATTCCCATCTTTGGCGTTCTTATTCATAGAAACTTAAACTCTCCGACAATTTTGACTTATTGTGTGGTGGACAATAGTCATTAATATAGTTCATAGCGGCCTCGCTATTCACAAATTTTCATTATTAATTGAAATAAAGCCGAATTCCGAAGCAAGTTTTTAATAAAATTCGCGACGGCAGTTTTTCAAGCTCATGGATTGAAATACTGTACTAAGCAAACGAAATGAAACATATATGTATAATAATATCTCGCTTATAGTGGTTGACGTTATAGCGGCCTCAGAATTTGAAAATATGTATTGGATTTCTACAATAAAGCTTTTTCAAAGTATTAAAAACGTTCAGATATATCCTTATAACATTATTATGGTGACACGTTTGGCTCAGTTTGTAGTGACTCTACTTACTGTGCCAGCGGTCGCGGGTTCGAGTCCCGCTGGGTGCATTCATTTGTGTGATGAGCACGAATTGTACTTCAGTCATGGGTGTGGAACTAGATGGTGCTGTTAATGTCCCAAAATTAATATTATTAAGTAAAGTTTATACCAGAATATACGTCAGTTCAAAAGAAACGTAATCACATACTTTTTTTTTAAATAATTTATTATAAAAACTTTACATTAAAGTAATTACAACTACAGAAAATGCTAGAAACAGCGATGAATCATTAGTATATATTAAGACTAAAAGGGCCAAGAATAGATTCTTGTGGAACACTCGTTTTTAAAAGAAATCCAGATGATTTACATTATATCAACCTTCTGAATTCTCTGATTGAGGTAGGAAGAAACAAAATCAAGCGCAGCACATGAAGGCCATAGTGATTCGCAAAATATACCAATAGTATTCTGCGATTTCTCCCATGCATCGTAGATGTGCCTAAGAAGCGCAGCATCCGCATCAGTAGTCGATTTACCTTTGATGAATCCATATTGTACACTAAGCATAATATTGTTATAATAAAAGAAAGTACTTCATTGTTTTAAAACTGGTTTTTCTAATATTTTGCTTAATGCAGGTAATATTACAATGGGTTGATAATTTACAGGTTCAACTTTATCACTACTTTTAGTCAAAGGTACTACTTTAGTATGTTTCATTAAATCGAGGAATGTACCACTATCTACACATTTATTAAAAATAAAGGCTTAACATTGAGCAATATTTATTATAATATAACTTTGATTAGTAATTTTCTGCATAAATTTCATGCTAAAGATTCTTTATCCATATTTTCGGTCACAACATAGTTTGGTTCATTAATCTTCAAGCTTACACACACGCACGTTTAATGTACAAATCGATCTATATCTATAAATATAAAAAAAATCTAACAGAGTTAAATCTCAAGTCAGTCAATACAAGCAATAGTAAAAAAGCAATTATAAACATTGAAAATCAAGATTACTTCGATTATAATTTCTATTTTATTTCTTATTTCTACAAATTTGTAGCCTATGATTATCTAAATACAAATTCGAACTTACGCAATCCACAAAATTATTTTTTAAACAAAACAACCGAGAATGAATGATGGAAAAAAAACTATTACCATTAGGAGTGAGTATAAAATTATTGTTTTAAGGTAGATATGAAACTCAATAAATAAAATAATTTTGTGTCTAAATATATATAAATAAATTAGTATTAAATAAAAAATATCGGATGATCGGTCTCGTGTGTACTAGACTTAATATTTAAAAACAACAACATTACAAACACAGATTCTTAATAGCGAAAGTTAACACTGTCAAATATAATCTGTATTCTCAATTCTGTGATCCGTTCGTTCTTTAATCTGTGGGTCCGTTTGTTTTCTCCAATCTTGATTCTTGGGGAAATGAAAATTTTATTTTATCAATCTATTTTAATCCTGAATTCGTGTTGTTAAAATATTGTGAAAAATGTCCATGTTTCCAGGAACAGTGGCCTTTGATGAATTTGGTCGACCATTTATTATATTAAGGGACCAAGAAAACCAAAAACGGTTAACCGGTATCGATGCGCTGAAGGTAATTAATTCGTTTATTTTTTATCACAGAAAAGGGTAACATATTAATATATTGTATATAAACTAACTCTTTCCATTTAAATTAATATTGTTCCTTATTGTTGAGAAAATTATAAGAACAACCTACGAAGGAGTTCACGTATCTATTTTATTATTTATGTGAAAAAAAATCAGAAAAGTGCTATTTTCTTTAACTATATCAATTATTTTTGCCATGAATTGTAGGAAAATGAACAAAAATAATGAAAAAGATGTATATTTTTAGAGAAAATAGCAGTCAAAATGTCATATGTTGAGTCACATGATGATCAATCTGTAATATATTTTGTCTTTTGTCTCCAAACTATTAGATAAACTACTTTTTTATTTTATTGACACATAATAAAACTTAAAAATAAGATGTTTTTAAAATATTCGTAATCAGGTTCATGTGTGTAAAGCAAAATTTGAGAGTAGCATTTTTTGCTTTACTATGGATAGGTATGTAAAAAATTAAATATATTTACCTTTAATGGACACATATGATAACGAAATAACACTTCTAGTATTTCTGATTAACAAATGTAACAAAACAATGTAACCATGAGTCTGATGCCTAAAAGTTGAGGTTATATTTATCAAAGTTTGATATTTTTATTTCTGAAAGTCTTTATTTCCTAAGCTTGAAACTTTGTGATTGATCAAGGTAATAAGTACCTACCTTGCACAAAAAAAATTAAAAGTCAATCTGAATGTCTGTGTCTGAGGTGTTCCATTTATTTGTCATGTAATTTTTATTTTAAAAACAAATAACTATTACATGACATTTATATAAGACTGAACAAACAAATCTTTACAGTCTCACATTCAAGCCGCAAGGCAAATTGCGAGCATTCTCCGCACATCTCTTGGTCCAAGGGGCTTGGACAAGATGATGGTGTCATCAGATGGTGAAGTGACAGTCACTAATGATGGTGCCACTATCTTGAAATTAATGGATGTAGAGCACCAAATTGGTAAACTTATGGTACAGCTTGCTCAGAGTCAAGATGATGAAATTGGTGATGGAACAACAGGCGTTGTAGTTTTGGCTGGTAAGTTTATTTAATTCCCTACTTTTCACACAAAAAGGATGAGTTGCTAAATTTCTAAAGTTTAGAAAAATATATACTTAAAATTTTAGTAATTAAATGCTTAAAAACTTTTCTGTCTAAACCATAGTAAATATTTGAATCTATACTTATATTGATGCACGCATTTATAACATTTAAATATATAATATTTGTAGCAAAATGTTTCTTTATTTAGGTGCACTGTTGGAACAAGCATCCAACCTAATAGACAAAGGTATCCATCCAATTCGTATTGCCGATGGTTTTGAAATTGCCGCAGCAACAGCTTTAGCTCATTTAGACAGCATAAGCGAAGCTTTCCCAGTTAACAAAGGTACAAGGGAACATCTGATTAAAGTTGCCATGACTACGCTCGGAAGCAAGGTTGTGGTGAAGTGTCACAGACTGATGGCAGAGATAGCTGTTGATGTATGTATATCATTTATGCAAAAAAAAAACCTTTTACCTTTTTTGATAATAAATTTAAAAATAGTGCCTGTAAGATTACAAATCTTACCGACCTATCCAATCTCCTTTATGTCTTCTCCTTTCTATGTGACATTGGCAAAGTACTCTGAAAGATGGTGTCATAGACAAACAAGTACAATAAAATTTAATTGAATTGAAGAAATTCTTAATTGAAATTTAAATAAATAAAAATGAATAGCTAAATGTGCTAAGCACAAAACTCGAACTACTTCAGCTATTTTTTTTTTATTCAAATATTTGCTTAAGTCCAAGGAAGGTATAAGAACCTTCCATGGACTGGAAGAGAGAAATTGGAAAAAAACCTGGATAAATGTAAAAACATTTTTCTAATTGAGCTTAGTGCTTGCACATTTGATTTGACAGAACAAGGTCTGTCGGGTCAGGTAGTAATAAATAAAAATATATAAAATTAGGCTATAAATTAAATTGTTCATTTAATGTACCTTGCCATTAATATTACTATAACAAAAAATAAAATGTTTTGTTCATAAGATTATTTCTCTCTTATATGGATACCTATGATGATTCACATTAACACATGTAGTGTTTTGATTTATAATGAAATTGTCCTTGGCTGTGTCTGAGGTATTCCATATGCTTATTATAATATTTTCATTTTATATTTCTGATTGTTGTAGATATATATAGATATGTGTTAAAAGCAATAAATAAAAATGTTTTTTTTTTTTTATTAAGAATGGATTATTGTGTTTATTCATTTACGTAAGTAAATATATACAACTTAAATCATCTGTTTTAGGCAATCCTCTCCGTAGCTGATCTTGAAAAGCGTGATGTGAATTTCGAACTGATCAAAGTAGAGGGTAAGGTTGGAGGTCGTATGGAGGACTCCATGTTGGTTCGTGGTGTTGTCATCGACAAGACCATGAGTCACCCTCAAATGCCCAAAGTTTTGAAGGTTTGTTGACTTTTGATTGTTTCATTTCAGTAATAAATATATGGGTATTTGTTGTTTTTAATTAAATTCTCTTATAGATTACATATAACTTTTAAAATTAAGTAAAACTATTTTTTTTTTTGTTTAATTTATTTTTGTTTTAAATACTTTATGGCAAATATGATTATGACAGACACTATGGATTTTGATGTTGCAAAAGTTATTACAGATGGTCTCTATACATAATTTAAAAAAATATATAGAATCATTTGTTAGAAAAGAGGAGTGGTGACACCTAATTATCATGATTAAAATTTAAATAAATATGATTATGTAGTGTTAAAATTATTCTTGCTGTTTTTTCTGATAGGACGTGAAACTGGCAATCCTCACCTGCCCGTTTGAACCACCAAAGCCCAAGACCAAGCATAAGCTCCAAGTTGGATCCGTTGAGGAGTACCGTGACCTGAGGAAGTATGAACAGGAGAAGTTCTTGGAGATGGTCAAGAGAGTAAAGGTTTGTATCATTGATTAGATATTGCTGTTATTTTCAACCGACTGCTTTTTTTGGTTCTTAACTTGCAGTAATTTTTTTTTAATTACCTAATTAAAAAAAATACAGCCGAGTAGAAAGATAGGTAATGAAAATTTAACCTAATTCTAATTGTCACACTGACTTGAAACTTTGCAAGTGTGTCTATTTCCGTTGATAGTGCAGTGTTTCGGTATCGTCGACCTGATCTGATGGTGAGGCCAGAAGGTGGATAGGTGGAACTCTTCAACAGCTAATAGTAGATGCCTTGAGTTTGGGCTTATTTTGTCTGATTTGACAAGACCAATATGTTAGAATTGATTTTAGAGACAATTTTTTTTAGTGTTACAAATAAAAGTGAATTATAGTGTGCCATCAAACTAACTTAAAGGGCTTAAGCGAATATTTTATATATAAAAATTGGCATCAAAACTAACTTAAAGGCTCAAGCGAATGTTTTATTAAAATATTCTCTTCTTACTTTGCTACTACTATGTCTACACTAAAAATAGAAAAATAAAAGTTAAAAAAATATATAAAAACCGGCTTCAAACAAAATCACTAAACAGTAAAAAATAACTGATTGAGAGTTTTCATTTACTATACATACCTAATCAAATATTTGCGAATTTCGTGCCAGTGGATACAAATGAAAGTCGACTTCGAAAGTATCTGATTATGTATCTATAATAAATGAAAACTACCAATCATTCCTACGCGTTTGGTCTCTAGAACGACACATACATACATTGACTGATAAACACATTACACTCCTTCGCGTTGCGCAGTCGGGTAAAAAGTAATTTTGGATAAAAACTTGCTTAACATAACATCAAATGTCTAATTGGCAAAAACCAGAAAGATGTAAATAAAAAAGTATGTTATAAAAATAAAAAATCTGACTGCATAAAAACTAACTAAAAAGGTGAAAACAAGTAGTAGAAGGAATATAGTAATATGCTGACATACATACGTATGTAATATGTATGTATGTATGTACATCATGTACGGAGACATATATATTATGTATGTACATCTCGCGGCAAAGATGAAACGTGTTTGTCTCCGACTGCATAATCTTATACTAATATTATAAAGAGTAATGTTTGTGAGTTTGTGACGTTGTAGGAGGTAATCTCTGGATCTACTGAACCGATTTATATGAAATTTTCTAAGACAGTTTGAGACCATGGAAAGGCCATAAGGGTACTTTTTAACCCAGAAATAATCCCTTAAGAGCGTGAAAATTGGGGATAAAAGTTTGTATGGAGAATCAAGCTAGAGTCGAACCCGAGCGAAGCTAGGGTGAGTCGCTAGTACTAGATATATACCTTCGTTAACTTCTTTTCATCTCTTTAGTTAGCATCTATGAAGTCGGGTTTTTTAAAATTTAATTTGATTGTTAAGTTTAATTTGATTATTGTTGTTATTGATCTTGTTTTTTTATTTGTATAAGTTTCTGAATAAAAGTATATATATTTTTGTATTTTATAGTAATTTTAAGCATTTTAACACTGTTTTAATATTATATAGCGAATGTGTTTTCCTGTAATAGGGAATATGCGTGTGATTTAAATAAAGATGAAATATGTTTTTTTATAGTAGTCGCCAGTTCTTATCAGGTCTGAGGCTTCTTCTTTCCGAACTGGTAGTAGACTTATGACGTTCAGTAAAAAATTGAAATAATTTAATGCTGAATAAAATATTTTGATTTGATATAATCTTTATTGCTTTTGAATTAAGCCTGTGTTAATATTTTTTAATATTATTTGTTTTTGATTAAGGAAATAATTATTAAAAAGTGTAAATATAGGTGGAAAATTTTAAGTAGTTCAACGCAATGCTATTGGTAAGACCATAAATACCATATATATAGACCATAAATTTATAGCCTACAGGGCAATTTGATGTACATTTATTATATTTTGATTGGACGAATCAAAATTACTAAATTTTGAAGAAAATCGAAAAAACTAAATAAATAAATATTGGTCGTTGTGATTTCTCTCTCTCTCGATAAAACGGAAATGCGACACGAAAAAGAGACAAACACATTAATATATAGTATTAAGCCGTCGAGCGAATGAGATAGAATACATTGCCATGTTGCCATGGTACCGGTTTTTATTGTCTGACAAATATATATATTCTTTCCGTATTTATAATATTCTATAAATATATGATTGTAATATGCCTTATTTAATTATTGATTTGTTTTAATTTAATCTAAATATCGCAAGATATTTGCCAAAGAAGTTGTACTTCAACCCCGCGTAAAGGTTATATGCACCCATTTTGTTTTAATAGAATCTTAAAATGGTAAATTTGGCTTTTTCAATCAATTTTGTCACATTCCTTGGCATATTGAGCTACTTCAAGAATAAATTTCAAATTTTATCTTTGTTTATATTTAAGTAGAAACTTAGAAAGATATTTTTTTTTAGGATGCCGGAGCGACTCTTGCTATATGTCAATGGGGCTTTGACGATGAAGCCAACCATCTCCTTCTCGCTCAGCAGCTCCCAGCTGTCCGTTGGGTGGGTGGTCCTGAGATGGAGTTGATCGCCATTGCCACTGGTGGCAGGATAGTTCCTCGCTTTGAGGAACTGACTCCGGACAAGCTTGGGTCTTGTGGACTGGTTAGGGAATTGAGTGAGTTTTGGTTGATCTCTTATTAAATTGTAAAATTATCTACACATTATGTCTTGTTGGGTTCAAATCCCAGGTCAAGCATATTAGTTTTTTTTGACAAAAAAATCTTAGTAACAGCCAGGAGTTGGGAAGTAGGTGGTATTTCTCTAAATCATATACAGAACCTACTAGAAAAACACATTTTTTTTATTTTTCTCTGTTTGTTTCGGCTAATCTCCGAACCGTTCTAGCTCTGGACTGATTTTGACAGGACTTTCACTGGCATATAGCTGACGTTATAAGGAGTAACTTGGCTACTATAATTTTAGAAAAAGAATTAGGGTTCTGTTCAAAAAAAATCAAGACTTACTTAGACTAAGGACACACCCGAACGAAGCCAGGGTACTAAATGTACCTTGAGCGAAGCAAGAGTAAGTCGCTAGTATATGAAGTTATAATTAAATAACGTTTATTTTGTACAGCATTCGGCACATCCAAAGATGAGATGCTGGTTATCGAGGAGTGTTCCAATTCGCGCGCCGTCACCGTGCTGGTGCGTGGTGGCAACCGCATGATAGTGGAGGAGGCCAAGCGCTCCGTGCACGACGCACTCTGCATCGTCCGCAGTCTGGTGCAGGTGGGTGTGGGTTCTGGTCGGCGTAACTGGGCTGGTGGGTTTTGTACTATCCACTTGTAGCTTCTGGAAACACTTTGTTTTCCTCTGATGTCACAATAAGGCTGGAGCCACACTATAGTGTCCATCGCGTTTCGCTCTCGGTCCGATATCGGTCTATTCATCGAATATAGTCCAAGCGCTAAGTCCACGACGCACTCTGCATCGTCCGCAGTCTGGTGCAGGTGGGCGTGGGTTCTGCCTTCTGGTCTGGGTAACTGGGCTGGTGGGGTTTGTACTATCCACTTCTAGCTTTTCTATGTACAGACATTCGACCTCTACAGTTTTATTATATATATAGATTATATTTTATGTTTCTGCTATTTTCCAAAACGGCTGGATCTATTTCGACGGGTCTTTTACTGGCAGATAGCTGATGTTATAAGGTGTTTGGGTACTTTTATTTAAGAAACAGTATTAGGGTTCTATGCAAAAAAAATTCAAACCCATGGAGAACAAAATCAGCATACCTAAGTCGCTAGTTTAATATAATATCCATATGACAGGATTCCCGAGTGGTCTACGGTGGTGGTGCTGCAGAAGTGTCCTGCTCCTTGGCAGTGGCCAAGTCTGCAGACAAGTTGTCATCCCTCGATCAGTACTCGTACAGAGCGTTCGCTGATGCACTGGAAGCTGTGCCCATGGCCCTGGCTGAGAACAGGTGGGTTTTGTGAAGGAATAAATTATAAATATATATTATATTATTTAAAATTAACAAATATTGTAATATATAATGCATTGTTGGTGCTATCATTTTGTTATTTTGTGTGTAGGCTGTCTGTCCAAATATTTAATGCCTTGAGACATCTTAAACCTTATTTTCGCGACCATGATTGCTGTAAAGCATTCGATCGCTCGTATAAACACACTTGGAATTTTTTAAATTATGTTTTTTTTTTCTTTTAAAAAAATCTGTAGGTTTTGTTTATAATTATGTCATATTTACTGACTTTAAGATCATCCTGTAATGAATGTTTTCTATACAAAATAATATCGATGTTTCACATCTGTAAGGCGCCACGCGACGGCTTTTTTTTTTAATTGTATTTTTTTTTTCAGTGGTCTGTCACCCATCGACACATTATCAGAAGTGAAGGCGCGACAAGCTGCAGAGAATAATAGCAATTTGGGTGTTGATTGTATGGGAAATGGTAAATATGTTGTTCTGTAATAGCAATAGCCAAAGAGTTTTTTCTATAGTTTTAGCTCGAGCAAAGCAGGCTTCTGTTAATCTTATATAAAATATTATAAATGGGAAAGTGTGTTTGTTTGTCTGTCCTTCTCTCACGTCGAAACGGAGTGACGGATTGGCGTGATTTTTTTCTGTGGCGATAGTAGGAGGGCTGGAGAGTGACGTAGGCTACTTTTTACCGCGAGAGATTATCTAATTCCCACGGGAAAACACGTTATAATACAATCGAAAAAAATATTTATGATCAGAATTACTTGCAACTTAGTATAAATGCTCTTCAATACAATTAAATAAATACGTGTTTTAGCATTTTTCAAAATTCATCCTATAAGGGGGTAAAAATGGGGGATGAAAGTGCCGCGGGTCAGCTAGTCTTATATAAATTCACACTACTTTTAATTTCCAGGTTCCAATGACATGAAAGCAATGAATGTCATCGAGTCCCTCCACTCAAAGAAGCAGCAGATTGCACTCGCAACACAACTCGTCAAGATGATACTTAAAATAGACGATGTGCGTTCACCGGCTGATTCTATGTAAATGAACATGTTTCATTTAAACTAAATACTTGTATGGTTATTATTAATTTTTATGTAATAATTAAATGTATGTATTCATTGGTAGGCATCAATCTATGTTATCTCACTGTATTGTAGCAATAATGTCTTGAATTAAATATATTAATAGATTGCTTCCCTGTACAAATTTTCACCCCCCATTTTCAATCCGTTAAGGGATGATTTCCGGGATAAAAACTATGTCCTTCCCAGTGTCTCGAATTAACTTCTTTACCAAATTTCATTTAAATCAGTTCAGTAGTTTTGGAGCCTATTTGATACAAACCAAAAAAAAGAAATTTTTCCAAGATAAATAATAACTTATCAGTACATTATTGTACTTGATATTTGCATCAAATACAAAACCATACATTACGAAACGTCAAATACACAAGTGTCACCTATACAGATAAATAAATTTGTAATGTCAAAATGACATAAAAAGCACACATTCTTTTTTTTTTAAATTAAAACTAACCCAAGTTGCTCCTTATAACATTAGCTATCTTAAAGTAAAAATCCAGTCAAAATCAATCTAGCCGTTTCGGAGATTAGCCGGAACAAACTGACAGACAAAACATTTAAAAATTGCTTTTTATTTGTATAGATTATTATTAATCCACAATTTTGTAAAAAATTAATATCATAACTGCTAAAGGTAATCAAATTGATTATAATATATTTAATTATTGCATATTATTATATTTAATTTTTTTAATACATTAAATATTTCACAGTACTCTTAGATGATAAAATAATATTTTAATTTAATGTTGGTAAGCTTTTTGTTCACTGTTGAGAGTGACGCTTTCGCTCTTTTGATTTCCAAATTGTCTTATATATTAGGGTTTATGACAGTATTCTGTGTAACATAACATACCCAACTAACACGTCCAGGTCAATTTCTAAGAAATTAATTAAATTTTTAAGAAATCTATTGTTAACTGACACGCCGGTATGTCCGCGGTCGTGGAGGGATAATTCATCTGTTATTTTATATAATTAAAGTAATAATATATCCTCACCACTTGTCTTACGGTGAAGGAAAACATGGTGAGGAAATCTGCATGTCTGAGAGAACCTAGCAAGTTTTTGAGAGACAGAAGTATCAGTCAGCAGGGCTGACAGTCGAGACCACTGCCGCCAGTAGAGCCACACTTATTTTATACCGCTGGGCCACACAAATTATACCAAATCAAATTTTATTATACAGATTAACAAAACTGTTGAGAATTTGTGACGAATAAAAAACGACATTAAAAATATGTAATAACTTAAAAATGGAAATTGAAGTATACATAAAATAACCATATGTTACAATTTTCGTATCCAATTATACGACTTGGCAGCCCTGATGCTCAGTCCGCCACTTGGCCAGCGTGGTGGAGTATAACCTGATCCCCCTCGTATTCAAGGGAGGCCCACGCCCAGCAGTGGGACGTTAAAAAGGGCTGACAACATGTCCTCAACGGTTTCGGCCATGCAGTATATATTATTGTCCCATTTTTACATAATATAATTTAGTTTTAATCTTATCTTACCGACCATTCGCTGTGGTGTCTTCTCCAATCTATATTCAAATTTCTGATCCAACTGGCACATTTTGAGGCCTTAAATAATTTGAAAAAGTAAAGAAAAAAAATGTGTGCATGTAATGTTTGAAGTAAAACTTATTTGTCGCTGTTACAGATACCGTAATTAAATTAACAAATCAAAATATAAATATAATAATTGTTTTTATAAATGATTATTATTATTATCTAAATATATATAATTCTTCTGTACGTGTGTTTGTCACCTTACTCCTAAAGGCCTGGACCGATTTGGATGAAATTTTGTGTGTATATTTCAATGGGCTCCTGGATGGTTTGAAAACACACAATTGGACCCGGTAGGTGGCGCTGCTGTCGGTGTGTCAGTGTTTGTTTTTTAGTAGTTTGAACGCGGGTGAAGCCGCGGATTCTGCTAGTAATTATATATATATATATACATACACATACAGAAAGCATGTAAAAACAAGCAAAGTCGTGGCGAGCTTTGAGTATGTTACGTTATAATAACACATTTACATTTAAATATACATTTCTTTGTGAATTGTATGTTGATGAATGCTTTGGTGCACTAATAAATTAATTTAGCTATGTTCATTGTTTTATTTTCCTACTTCTAAAAATGTGTGTAAAATAAGAAAAAAAATGTCAGATATCAAAAAAATGTTTGGGTGGAATAATCTATACATATAATAAAATTCTGAGCCGAATCTGTACATTAAATTTTTTTTGGAATATCTTATTAAAATAGACATTATTTTCGATACCGAGGCCGAATCAATAGTTTTTAGAATTTTTGTCTGTCTGTCTGTTACCGCATCACGGAAAAAACATTGGAGGGTTTTGATGAAATTTGGTATGGTGATAGCTGGTTATCCGGGTCAACATATAGGATACTTTTTACCGCGGGAAAATATATCATCTCTGAGAAATCTATACTAAACGTTAAAAATGTATATTATAAACTTTAAATAAAATTCATATCTTAAAATAATAATGATTTTATTTTATCGCCCGATCTCCTTCAGGTCTTCTCCATTCTAAGTGACATTAGCAAACTAACCTGAAATCAACTGGCGCGCTTTGAAGCCAAGAAACAAACAAGAAAATTGAATTATTTTATTATGTAATAACAATAATGACCTACTGGCCACGGCGGCCAATCTCACTGAGACTAACCAGCGTGAGAGATATTGTATAGTATAGTGCCGACACAACGCGCACTCTCTGTTCCTGTCACTCTCACACTGCGTCGGGACGACACTCGACACTCGCGGTGAGACCAATATAAGGCACTGGGGTGAAACACTGCCAACTTCCCAACTCCAGGCTGTTACTGAGGCTTACTATGCAGAAAGACTCAATAACTAAACTTGGCCCGACCCGGGACTAGAACCCGGGTACTCTAGATGAGCAGCTGTACATGCTAGCCATTACACCACCGAGGCAATTATTTATTTACTAGCGGCTTACCCCCGCTTCACTCGGGTTCGCCCTAAAACATTAATTGATCTATCCCACGGTAACCGTTCATTTTTCCGGGATAAAAAATAACCTGTTGTTTAACCGGCAATATAAGGTATCAGAATGTTAAATTTACTAAATTAGGTGCATAAGTTGTTGTGTACAAAGTGTATAAGATACTATAGTACTTTAACTATCCCACGGGAACTCTTTAATTTTCCGGGATGAAAAGTATCTAAGCTGTTGACCGGGGATATAAGGTACCACCATGCAAAATTTCATTTAAATCGGTCCTACAGTTTCGGAGCTTAGTCCGTACAAACAGGTAGAGAAACAAAAGATTTGAAAAAAATCTGGGCTTGTTCTATTTGTCTTCTTACATCCCTGAGTCGGTTTTTAGCATATTTTTTCTATGTACAGACATTCGACCTCTACAGTTTTATTATAGTATAGATTATGTAATAATGATATGAAGCTTGTTAGTATTACATTTATTTAAATACACCACAAACAGACAGTTTTATTAGGAAAATATTTGTTACAAATCTTAAACTTTTAATTCACCTTATAGCCTAACATAAATTGAAACATAACCTCATCCTTTGAGTCGGTTAAATCTTTGCACTTCCATTCAATTTTAATTATTCTTGTGTTGCCATTACAATACCTTACTTATCTAACATAACATTTACAAATCTAATATATAAAAATCTCGTGTCACGATGTTTGTGGTCGCGCTCCTCCGAAACGGCTCGACAGATTTAAATGATATTTTTTTTGTATATTCGGTAACTATGAGAATAGGTTGTAAAGTATTTTTCACTCTCCTACCCTCACCCCAATTTTCTAATCTTTGTATGAACATTACAAAAACATATCGACGAACCCGTCGCTGTGTAACATAAAGCCAAAGTGTTCTTTTTGTAGATTGAACGCGAGTTCTGCTAGTAAAAAAAAATTTTTTAAGGAGGATAGTGAAATCATAAACTATATGTAAAACCAAATAAATGGAAGCAATCAATGCAAGTATTGCTGTCGTATCTATTTGTATATGTCATTGCTATTTTGTCAAAGAAGACTTTGAGTGTGCCAACGAGACTTTAGATGCCATCTTAAACAATGTATTATCTATTTCCAATATTTATCAAGAATTTACCGAGCAAAGGATCTACTCCGAAGACTTCTTGCTCGCTTCCACCATTATATATCAAATCTTTCAAAAGCCAAGGACTTTCCTTCTTCTTCATATTCCTCTTTTGTCATACAAAATGAATAAAAATCTGGATCTCTAAATATCTTTTTACCACCTTCCCATGCATATGTTATAGGGTTTTCCCCTAAAGTTACATTCACATCAAAATGATCTAAAGCAAACGATCTCACTTCACTGTAAACTCTATCTCTAAAATTAGGGAACAGAGTGTTGCCACCAAATAAAACTATATTCTCCAATAAACTCTCCTTATTTTCTTCTGGACATGAATTTATAGAATGAATTATCGCCTCCGAAATCCCCATTTGTGGTATCCCTACATCTGATGGTTTAAATAATAACTCGGGTATGGAAAATCTTTCATTGTTTAGTCGTAAAGTCTGTTGCTCTAGGTCCTCATCCGGTTTGACAATGTCTCGGAGATAGCCTCTACGTAGTGTTGTATAGTCTGGCAATACATAGTCTTTGATAATTGTGTTTGCTGAACCTAGAATAAATGAAATGGATATTTTAATTAAAACATGAAACTTACAATAGCAAAGATTTTCAATTCTAACAATTGAGTATACAAGTTTAATATTTTAATATGGTTTCCAAATATAAAGTATTTACAGTTGCTTATGATCATGGTCACAGGAAGGAAGTGCACTTGTGACCCCCTGCCATGAAGAAAAATATATAGAAAAAGTTAAATAAATAAAATTATATTATGGTATGGTATGTCCGGGCTATTTTACGCAACTCGATGTTATTTTAATAAAATCAGATAATAAAAAGCAGATGCACTCCCCTGGAAATAATTCTGCTGCCATGCATATGATACATTAATAGCTACCTTGATCATGTAGTAACATTAAAAAAAACTATATAGATTACCTTTTTTCTTAGCTATCTCCATATCACCCTTAAAGTCTTGAGATACAAAGCAAGAGTCTTCTTTAACTTGATTTATTACATAACTTTCCTCCATCACATTCAGTTGCCGATAGGAGAGGATTTCTTTTAAATGATTTGTTAAGACTTTGCCACCAACATCAATTCTTCTTATACCTTCTTTATACTTCTTACCTTTTATATATGGTACTATGTAAGTATAACTGTACCCAGAATCAACAACAACTGTGGATTCATTGTTGTGGGTTTTTCTATAGTTATATTCTGCTAAATCTGAAGCGTTTATACGTAATAATGACTGACATTCGTACTCTTCAAAGAAAATCTCTGTCATAGCTTCTTGTATTGAAGAAAAGTTAAAAATAGGCTCAGTTATTATTAGTGGTGTTTCACTAAAATTTACAGGACAACATTCCTTACTAAATATGTAATCCCAAATCGTTTTTTGTGTGTCCCAGTTGATCAGAAAGCCTTTTTGAAATGGTAGAATGTAAAACAGACCCGAAGCATCCCGACATTCTTCAATTTGAGCTCCAACGAATGGCCGTCGTCTCTCCGATTTAGCTTTCATTATACAATTCGGCACTATCTTTGGCACCATTGTGGAAAAGCCAACTTTAGCAGTATATGCTCCATTGTCAAGAATATAGCACGAAGTTTCACTCATCGTTACCGGTGTAAACAAAGTGATTCAACACAATAGTTATTGTATTAAAGTTAACATTGTTCTATAATTATAAATGCCATCTTTTATATAAGGTTTCTTATATAATAACATATTAAATCTATTTCATCCATAAATGTTTAGAGAAGTATTTATTTTATAAGCCGCGCCATTTTAGACACGAATTTAAAATCAAAAATGGGCATGGCGTCTGAGACCTGTCGGCTGTCACATAGATACTTGGCAGTTGGCACTTGCAGATTGCAATGACAGACGGCCAGCATTCAGCTGTCAGCAATACTCAACAGGGCTGCCAACTTTATTACTTACGGGATCGTATCATATGAAAAATCATACTTTGATAAAAATTGTAGAAAAAAAAATTGGTACGGATTGAAATTTTAACAAAAATACGTGCCTTTGTAAAATCATGTAATATTATTTTCTATTTTGCTATGAATATTAAAAGATTTGAAAAGATTGTATATTTTGCGTACGATGATCGTACCAACTGTAAAAAAGATCGAATGAATACGATTTAAATGGTACGGTTGGCATAACTGATTTTCATCATGCATTGCAATCACAATGTGCTAAAAACGTAGTGGTTACAATTTACAATTACATTCTCTTTGCAATGTGCAAGTGAGAGAGCATGATGCTCGCCGCCCGGCGCCATTTTAGATCGGTTTCTTTATTGGCGCGGAAGCGGATTATTTATATATATACTAATGTTAATTATTTAGGAAAATAATTTTCCAGATTGCACAGAAACACACGTGAAATATTTGACACATTTAAATAATGTTGCTTGAAAAAATATGATATAAAATACACAAATTCCAACACTCTAAGATTACTTTAGTTTTAGGTTATTTGAACAAAATATTTAAATTCATACAATCATTAAGTAAATTGCACAGCCTTATGTACAAAAATAAAATATTTATATTACGTATGATATTCATCATCCTCATCATATATAACACTTAATTTCCCTAGTATTTATTAATAGTAAGATCTTGAACTTATGCATAGGAAATGTTATGTTATATTTAACTGAACCCCAAACAATTTCATGTAATAGATTTTTTTTCAACATTTATAACAAATTAGTTTTAATATAAAATCGCCAGAGCATCATAATGGGAAATCAATATATTGAATTCGTAGTTTAGTCACCACTTGAATACTGTTATTTGTGTTCTCTTCTCGTACATTGTGGCAAGAAATAATTTTTATTTAGTTGATATCCATATTAATATTATAAATGTGAAAGTTTGTGAGTATGGGTGTTTGTTACTCTTTCACGCCAGAACGGCTGAACGGATCTAGATGAAATTTGGCACAGACATAGATTATAGTCTGGAATAACACTTTTTATCCTGAAAAATGTACGGTTCCCGCGGGATAGGTTTGATTTTGCCTTCCTAGAAGCGAACCCGAACGAAAAGCTGAGCTCCTAGTTTAATAATAATTAAAACATCAGTACAAGTATGATTATAAAAAACATTTAACAAATAGGCATAGCATCAATTATTAAGAATAAGTTAAACTGACCTCTATCTAGATAAGACACTAGCGACTCACCATTGCTTCACTCGGGTTCATGTCCCTAACTTGCCTCCCAATGTAAAATTTCATCCCCATTTTCACCCCCATAAGGGATGATTTCCAGAATAAATAGTGTCCTGTATTTCCCAGGGTCTCTAACTATCTTCTTACCAGATTTAATCTAAATCTGGTTCAGTGGATCCAGAGATTACTCCCTAAAACCCACAAACTCACAAACTTTACCTCTTTTTTTATATTAGTATGGATAGGAACAGGCAGTATAAGTTGCATTCTACATACATTAGATGTTAAAAAAAAACAAAACATTGTTTATCACATTAATTTATTTTGATTTAATTACAGTTTACTAGCTTAAATCTATAACATGCATCTACTCTAAAGTAGATGAAACCTGAAAAAAATGGAAACATTTTCTTATTTATTTTTATTTTAATTATATGGAAAAAACAATGATTAGATTTTTGCAGTTTTATTACATTTTTAATAATCAATATATTATAATACATGCTTTAATTATCATTAAATGTCATTTAATCTTATAAAATTAAGAAATAAACTAGATAAATCTTCACTTACAATTTACTTCTTAAGAAGCTGGTGACGAGTGATGAGGAATGGAGCAGACAGACCAGAGGATACAAACACCATGAATAAAGCTGTGAGCTTGTAGCGGTTGGAAATATCGAAGGGAAGGTTCTGAAATGCATAATGTGATCTTAGATGAAATTTTCTTTGTTTCATTCAACTTAAATTATAATTAAACTCTTTGGATTAATTTACCAAAACCGCTGCAAGCTGTTAAATTTCATAAGTTTAGAGTTTAGACTTGACTGAACATTGTAATTTTTTTTTTCATTGAAAATATATAAATTTGTACTATTCAAACTTCTAAACCGCACTAGTAATAGTAACGTGAGAGTAACGTGTTGTATTGAGAAGAGAAAAAAAATATTTTTTATATTTATAAATGGAGCCCAACCTTTATTTGAAAAAAATATATTCAGACATAACAAACATAAAAGAAGTAATTTAATATATTGTATATTTCATTAATTTAAATTAAACAAGTGACGGCAAAAATGAATATTCAAAAATAAGAACCATAGATTCTGATTATGTAATGTTTAAATTTATAGGAAAACTTACCTCACCAGGGACACCACCATGGGAGTGATTCCTAAAGAAATTGGTCATCACATTTCTGCCCAATTTGTTAGAAGCACGAGCTAAAGGACCCAACATTTTGATAATTTACTTTACACTTGCGAGTAGCGAATGGCGTTAAAATGTGAGAATTGAGAATCTTCGATTTTTCTGTCGTCGCAAAGTGTTTTTTTTTTTACAAAAACTACCATTGCGTTCAGATACTTTTATTTAGTAGTTTTGATCTATTTTTGAACGCATCCAATTAATGTTAAATAAAAAGCCAAATTTATTAATATACGTTTATTTTCATTTAGTTAAAATTAATGTAACTACGAATATTTCTGTTGAATAACCTATGATTGAATGTTGAAATGCATTTACCTGTAAAAAGTGCAAAACATTTATATGATTTAATTTAATAAAAAGAAAATATTGCTTTTAGTGAATTTTCAAGTACAAAATTTTAAAAGAAATATTTTTAATTTCTATTTATATTAAAAATTTAAGAAACAAAAATAGTACAAATTAAAAGATCTTAACAATTAACATATTATAGTAGACACTACAACTGCATATTATATTACATATTTAAAGAAGATATTATATTATTTTATTGCGGAGGAGGAAAAATAACTTCCGTGATATTTCAAGGAGAATCTGTTCTAAAGCGCAAAGCCTGTAAATATAATCGAACGAGTAGATGTGTTAGCATGAAATACAATATTTATTGAGAGTTAGTCAACAAAACGACATGTTTATAGCTTTAACAGGTCCATTGTTTTATTGTTTATTTTGCACTTATGTGTTAGTTGCAGTATTGCTCATTGTCTACTTGTACGTTTTAGGGTCCTGCACCAGATAGACCCAGGTTGACAAAGATTCAACTTATGATTAAGAATGATGGTCTAATCCTAGTAAGTCTGTCTGTACATCTGCCTGTTCAATCTTTACAGAGTCAAACAAATTAAACTGTAATAGTTGTATGTCGGTTTAAGAACAGATTATTCAATATTGTACCGCGGATTAAAGAAATAATAAAAAAGTTCATGATTAAAGGTGGGGTCACCTTTACTAAATAAGTATATTAGAAAGAGTAAACTAAGAAAAAGTAAAACAAAACAAAATTATCAAAGTGTCAGTGAGCTGCTCTAACGGTACCAAATGAATTAATGTGATGACTAAGACTTATAGTTATTAGGTAATAATATAGTGTTCGGACAATAAGTACGGAACCCGCAGGAGTCCGACTTGCACTTGGCTATTCTTTCGATATAAATCATTAGTCTTGAAATCTATACAGTTGTTTAATAGTTTTTCGCAAAATACATAAAATTTTTTTTTTTAATATTTCAATAATCATAAGTTTAATAATTAGGTCTTGTGCGTTTGCTTGTTCAAATTATATTGAGAAAAGTATGTATTCGTTTTCACTTTCTTTGAGCTATTTATTCATAGTGTATCAATCAATCAATATTTACTCATCTAAGTTATATACCTGCCTAAATCTTATAAAGAAAAATGAGTGGCTAAATGTGTTGCTGAGCGCAAAGCTCGGAAATGGTTGGACCAATTCCTTTACTTTTGGAAATCGTCACATAATTATAATTTTTATAACTTTCAGAAATTCACTATAAGTCTATGACTGTAACAAAATTACAATTGGAAATTAAAGTAGTTATGATAATTTCAAAATTTTATAAAGTACTACAACTACACTTAACGTGGCTTACACCGCGTAATTTAATTACGTATCTATAGCTGCTGCTCCACTCCTAAGGCTTAACATGATCTAAGATAGTCTATAGGTTATCCTTTCAGTTAGTTCTAGAAACTATTTTTCTTCAGACTACAAAAATAAGGAGAATTAATTAGGTCTTCGGCTATGTTTTCTGGGTATGTGACACGATATCTTCGCCTATTGGAAATCAATTTTCAATGTATTCGTATGTCAAAATAAAATAAAATTATCGTAAGGGGATGAACTGATATTTTCTGCACATGTTTTTATAACTATAAAAGTAGCACTAGTGACAAAGAAGTTGAAAGGAAATCGTCTAAGTTGGTATGGACATGTGAAGAGGAGGGATGAAACCCATGTGACAAGAAGAATGATGGAAATTGTATGTAGATAGATGGAGATAAAATATAGATTGTGTGAGACAGGACATGGAAGAGACAGGGGTGAATGATGAGGTGACGAGTGATAGGGGAGAGTGGAAGACGTACTCCACAGATTTCAAGTAACTGGGGAAATAGGCAGGGTTAAGAATTTTTTTAAGATCATATGCGAAAGCAAATTCTTCTTTACTTACATTTACTTTTTGGCAATCTGGTACAACATGATGAGATAAGGTGCTGAAAGGCCGGTAAGACCAAACCACATGAAGTGTAGCGTAATTCTAGTGCGGTTGTGGATATTGAAGGGCAGATTCTGTAATTATAAAATACATTTTTACTTACATATTTAATACAACAAAATAAATAAGTAGGTATATCCAATAAAAAACTAAAAAAATATTAAAATTGAACTAAACTGAAAAATTTGCCTTATCCTATTATCCAAGCGTTCAAAACTTATTATGTTTTCAAATTACTTAAGATATCCTTTTAATTAAAACTCGTATTTCACGTGACCTAACCATTTTTATCAAGCAGTACGCACTTTGTAGCGACCATCTTGTCGATATAGTTTTAGTTAGACGATGTGGTGAATTACATAATGAAATTTCCACCTACCTCTCCGGGAACACCTCCATGTGACCCATTCCTGATGAAATTTCTCATCACATTCCTGCCCAAAAGAGTAGATCTGTTTAAAGTACCCAACATTTTATGTTTTTTTCTTGAAAATGAACTCAAAGTTCCGTTCAGGTAATGGTAGATTAGATAACGATATTGACTATTGCTTGATTCCGATACGACTGACCGTTTAGAGATAAAAAGTGAACTTAAGTATTATCCGTTTATTCGGAAACGCGTGTACTGTGTTTTGAAAACAGGAAAATACATAAATTAATCTTTAGTAGAGAACAAATTCTTTAAATTATTGTAGCAAATAAATCATCTAATTATTTAACTTCTTTTATAATTATTATAAATACGAGTAACAAATTATAGAGATATAACAAAATATATGAAATAGTAAGGTAACATTACATTTAAAATAGTATAAATTATTTAAAAATGGAGGCAATACGCATATTACGTAAATATAAAAATTGAATTAGAATGATATACTATAAATATTGTGTATATGCAATAATTTTAAAGTACATAGTATTTTTTAAATTCATATTATTTTTGAAATTCGATCTTTGATATCTTTAATAAATATTGTTTATCATTAATTTTATATAGACTACTACAAAACTACAAAAATATCTCTAAAAATTGAGGTTTCTTACAAACTTTTATCTCCTATTCTACCCCCTTATAGGATGGATTTCGAAAAATGCTAAAACACGTATTTATTAATTTGTACTGAAGAATATTAATACCAAGTTTCAAGAATTCTCACCGTGGGAATAAAATAATCTCACGCAGTAACAAGTAACCTATGTCACTCTCCAGTACTCCAACTATCTTCCAAGTTCCACTTACAAAAAATCATGGTAATCCGTCACTCTGTTTCGACGTGAAAGAATGACAAACAAACTTTCACGTTTATAATATTGGTATGGATTATTACTTGAGTATATCTATATTTCTATATCTATACTAATATTATAAAGAGGTAGTGTGTGAGTTTGTGACGTTGTAGGGCTAATCTTTGGATCTACTGAACCGATTTTGATGAAATTTGGTAAGAAGATAGTTTGAGACTCTGGGAAGGATGTAGGATACATTTTATCCCTTAAGGGAGTGAAAATGGGGATGAAAGTTTGTAGGGAATCAAGCTAGGGACGAACTCGAACGAAGCGAGAGTGAGTCGCTAGTTGAAAATATACCGATTACAACAAAAAATATTAGTAACTTTTGTAATCATTAATTATTTATTAACTAGCGGCTCACCCTCGCTTCGCTCGGGTTCGTCGCTAGGTACGTTTTAAATAGATATAAAAAGAAAAAATCTTTCTTTCTCACATTTTAATTATATGTTTTAATACTTACCTATTCCGGACTAAGAGAAATCCAAAAATTAAAATATCATAAAAATTGGAACGCGGTCGAACGGGATAAAAAGTATCCTATGTCCTTCTCCTGGCTCTAAACTACCTCCCTGCCAATTTTCAGCTAAATCGGTTCAGCCGTTCTTGAGTTATAAGCGAAGTAACTAACACGACTTTCTTTTATATATATAGATTACATAATATGTACTATAATTTTTAATAGTAATGGTAGAAATTTATAGTAATATTTTAACACACAGTAATAGCAACACTAAATATTGCCACAAAAAAAAGAAACAGTCGGCCACGCTTGCCACTAAAATCATTCCGGAGGTTCATATCAATTTCTCCCATTCATTATTCCAATATTGCTGTATTTTATCCACAAATACGTTAAATATTTAAATTAACCTTGAAAATCCGCAATGGCTGATCTAGACGATTTCTTCGCTAAGAAAGACCGTAAAAAGTCAAAAGTTAAAAAGTTCGCGACGGCTGATGAACTAGCAAAAAAATTGGAGGATACTAAGCAAAAATCTGACGTGAGGCCGAAAAAGGAGCGCCCAGCGCAAGAGGGCGAAGACACCGGACGAGCAGGGGTATGTTATATTTGTTTTAAATAAATTCTTAATCATTTTATTTGATACGTCAAAAGTAGGTGAGAAAAACCGATGTAGGTTGCCTTACAATGACACTGAAACTGTCGCGTGGAATAAAAGATATTGTTTTCCGAGTCCTTTGTTGCTTAATTTATTTGACCTGGTTACGATGCCGTGCCTTCGCCCTATATGCACGTTTGAAATTACATCAACTTGTGCATAAAATGCTTTAAATTCATTTTAAAAATTGTAAAGGTTAAAAATTTGAAACTGTAAATCTTTGGAAGGCGACATGTTTGTGGTATTTTATTTATGTGATGAATAAATACCATAAATATTGAAGTGAATTCAATATGAGTGAAACATTTTGTTTTGATTAAATTTTATTATGTTAATTTTTACAACACATGTATATTTGTTCAAGCTTAAAAATAAAGTTAATATGAAAATGAATCAAATAACTGAAAACTACAATTTATGAATTCAACTGATTTTTTTTTGTTAGTTAAGGATGATGGAGATATAGGTATATGATATGAAATAAAGGGTTATTGGTAATCCGACGTATTTCCGTTAGGAGGTGATACCGGTGACTATTTGCGATAATTTTAACCCCCATATGCATTATGCAAAAGTGAACCATTTTTCAGTTAACATGTTTTGTAGCTTTTTTCAAAATAAGTCAAAAATGCAACATGAAAAATGTATAAAAAAAGTATCTATTTAATAATATCATTTCTTCTTATTTATAAAAACGATTAAACACTGGTTATTTATCAATATTAAAACAACAATTATCGGTCCAATTTTAAAAATGTGAGACGAAAACCTATAGTATTTTAATATTTTATTGAGATTTTCTTCCACTAAATTGCTTTAAAAACTAAAAAAAAATTATGAAGCTTGGCTTGCAGATTATTTCGAAAACAACCATTTTCTTAGCTCTTAAACGATGCATAACAACTTGTATTTAGCCTTTTTTAATGTCCCAGTGCTGGGCATGGATCTCCCTTCAATACGAGGGGGAATCTGGTTATAGTCCACCACGCTGGCCAAGTGCGGGTTGGCGTACTTCACATGTCTTTCGAAAACGTGCTAGGTTCTCTCAAATATGCAGGTTTCCTCACTATGTTTTCCTTCATTGTAAGGTAGTCATGTTAGAAAAGATTCGCACGTGAAAATATCAGAGGTGCGAGACCCGGGATTTGAACCAGCTTCACTCGGTTTCGCAAGCGAGCGCGTTTCCACTGGGCTACCACTGCCTGCCACTAGGAACTTATTTCAAAGTAACTGAAAAAAAAGATCACAACGGAAGCAGGTGGAATTTCATATTCAAACTAAACTTAGGTTGTTCTTTATACTTTTCAATTTTTCTGAAATAGTATCGTTTTTCGTCTTGCATTTTTAAATTTGGACCTATAATTGTTGTTTTAATATTGATAAATAACCAATGTTTAATTGTTTCTATAAATTAGAAGTAAAAATGAAGTTTAAATTGATACTTTTTTGATGTTGCATATTTGACTTATTTTGAAAAAAGCTAAAATACATGATAACTCAGAAATGATTCACTTTTGCATAATTCATATGGGGGTTAAAATTATCATCATTAGTTATTTTGATGATTTTAGTTATTAATTTAATATCTTTTACTCTGAATTAACGCTTGTCTATATTTATATTTATTTATATTTGTTTATTATAAAAAAAATTGTCTTGTTTTAGGATTTACTTTTTGAACACTCAAAAAGAAAATTAAAAAAATAAATAAAATGACAAGTTTCAATAAAACTATATCTCAATATTCTTTCTTTGCATTACGCATAGCAATAATGTCTTAATGGAATTAAATTCAATAAGGTTAGAAGGAAGATTTTTCAACTCTGCAATTAGTTTGGGCGTGGATAGGTCATCGTGAATTTTTTAGGTCCTTTCATATATAACAAATCAATGTAAGCTACCTCATTAGGGTTCTGTAGGTAAAAGATAAAAATGGAATCCTTCTTATCTCTCGATGCATGTTTTGTTCATGTCACATTCATTTTGAGCCATTCTATGTGAAAATGTCTGAAAATAAAAAAAAAATGTTGCTGCTGGCCTGTTTTAGATTTTCCTGTAACTTTGAGGGATTGTTCCTCAGGATCCTAAAGAACAAAATTTACGTTTATTTGCTTTTTATATGCGCCCCTTTCCGCCTTCGAATTTAGACTTTTAAGAAATATCATTTTTATGCTATATCGTTTTTAATTGTAAAAAATTTACTATTTATCATATGATATTATTATCTATACGTTTGAGACGATTTGAGATATTGCTGAAATTTCTGGAGGAATTGGGTTGGCAATAATAACACGAATGGAAAAATTCCCACACACGCAAAATAGGCGCGCAGACGTCGAGTTGCGGAAACAAGCCCGAATATACCACACGCTTGAGACGGCATTTTGAAGGGGAAAGCTAATATTTTTTTATGGGCCGGATAAAAATTTGCTTAGGGAATACCTATTAATGACAGGGTACTGAAAATATGTGTTCTTTTTCAATTTTTGCATTTTTAAACTGACTCCAGCGTCTCGACTGTTTGATGTAAGCCACTAATTTTACTCAGAAATTAAATATACATATCATAGAAGAAATAAAGCCAAAAATCAAACCAAACAGTCCACTCTATATATACAAAATCTTTGTTTGAAATTTTGTGATTTCAAAAAATTCAGTCATTCAAGTTATAAAATGAACATGTGAAGATAAAAATATGAAATTGACAAGGTCTTCAGTTCTCACCTTTAACTTCAAACACTTGCAAAGCTCGTTTTGTTATTTTTATTCTTAGTACCTTTGTAGAAGATTTTTTTTGAAGTAATAATTATTAATCTTATCTTTTTATGTTATAATTCAGTAATTTTATTTACAATTGATAAATTTTCTTGTAACTTATAGCAAATCACATATTAGCTTCCTAATTTAAACTTATAAATTTGTTTGTGTGCTAAAGGCTATTATACAATTAATGATTCTATAGAAGATGGCATGCCTTGGGAATGAAGTGATAGTCTCTAGGCTGATTCAATTTTATAGTAATATTGTAATTCATAATTTAACTTTATAAAAAAAGATAATGAAATAATATGACTTTCGCTGAGTTTTTTTCGCCAGTTCGTCTCAGGTCTGAGGGTTCTTCTTTTCCAAACTGGTAGTAGACTCATGACGTTCAGTATAAAAATGTTAAATAATTTAATGCTGATTAAAATATTTTGAATTTGAAAAAAAAGTTATTATATGCTGTAAGTCCTAATACAGAATTTGTAGTTTAATTGTTTAAGCTAGCTAATATAATTTTCTTATACTTTATATATTTTCATATCTAGGAAGAAGAAGAATGGAAAGATTATGAAGAACCAGTGAAAGATTACACTGGTCTCAAGATCCAAGTTCTGCAGGGTGGTGCCGGTGCTCCTGAGTCTGGGCGGGATTCTGCCACTGAGGATTCTGCCCCTGAGAATACCAAGAATAAGGGGCCTTGGAACAAACCTGTAAGGATTTTGTTTAAGACAAACAAATTTTAGAGGATAAATCCTGAAAATACCTGACTATCAAACTACTGTTATTAATAAGGAAGTTGTGGTTTATCTAAAGTTTGTATGTATGTTTGTGTGTTTGTTGTGTGTGAGGTGTGTGTTTGTATGTGTGTGTGTGTGTTTGTGTTTTTTAAAACTATCACTCCATTTCAGGCGGAGCAAGAGCAACCTACGCCTGCGCCTCCTCCTCCTCGTGAGGAGAAGTCTCAGCCCTCAGCGTACGTGCCACCGCAGTCCCGTAACCGCACCGCAGAGCCCGTAAGGAGGCATCAGTCGGTAAGATTTGTTTAGTTTTATTAATAGCTAGCGACTCACCCTCGCATCGCTCGGGTTCGTCCCTAGGTTTCTTCCCCACACAAATTTTCATCCCTATTTCCATCCCCATGACGTATTATTTTCGGGTTAAAAACCTTATGTCCTTTCCAGGGTCTCAAACTATCTTTTTATCAAATTTCATCTAAATCGGTTCAGTATTCGGTACAAACAAATCTTTCCTCTTTATAATATTAGTATAGATTAATCTTGATAATATTAGGTGTTAAATCTTGACTCACCTAGTCTTGAATTATATACTACACTAACTAAATTTTAAATAAGATTTAGATAATTTATTAGTAAAGTTTTAATTATAATTTCAAATTATAACCTTACATTAAAAATATATAAATCATGACAAAATAAAATAATTCAAAATTCAATGTTAATTATTGTCATTATCGTGGTGTACGTTTGTTTGTTTAATTTATTATAATTATCCCTATTATGTTGTTCCTTCTTTTTGTTTTCATATAAATATATTGATATATTTTTTTTAATTTCTTCTTTGTTTTTTTAATATTTTCTGCTCTGTTAATCGATGATTTTTGTCATCCCAATAGGATGATTGGAAGTAATGACTTTGTATTTTCATGTGTAACTAGCGACTCGCCCTCGATTCGGGATCGCGTTCGTCATTAGACAAAAACAAACCTATCCCACGGGAACCGTACATTTTTCCGGGATAAAAAGTAACCTATGTGCCATTGATACCACACTATAATCTATCTCTGTGCCAAATTTTATACAAAAAACCGTTCAGTCGTTCTGGCATGGTTGCGTTAAAAATATCCTCACAAAGTTTCACATTTATTATTACTAGAGTTCGCCGAGTGGTCGAACTTCTACAATGATTATTATTGATTTTTTTTATTTATAAAACTTTAAAGCTTGGCAATAGCTATTGAACTATACAAAAAATAAACAGATAGGTTCAAAAACAAAAAGTTTTATTAAAAAGGAATGCAAAGTTTTTACTTCATGTTTTAATACATAATATTCATATTGACCACAGATTATAACAATAAACAAAAGAGTATGTATATGTGTGTGTGTGTGTCAAATACATGGTAGTGTGTGTAATGTTTTTTTTTGATTTTATGTATTTTTTTATGCATAATTAAAAAAAAATATTAGCATTCTGCTCTCTTTCTCTATATAAACTGTAAGGGTGGGGAATTTAATACTCCTCCGTCCGCGTTATTTTCGTAAAAAGGGGTACAAAGTTTTTGCTTCACGTATATTAAATATATAGATTAATTTAGTACGCATAAAGAAATAAATAATGTATGTATAATATGTAAAATCTTATCCGCCATAACAGAAGAACGCACCAGACATCCATAACGACGATTACTTCCCCGTGCTGGGCGCTGGCACCAAGCGTGCCGGCGGCTGGAGCACGGCCGGTGGCGGGGGCGGAGCGCCCGCGCGCGCTGGCGCCACGCGGCAGCCCCTCGCGCTTGGCAACCGGTTCACGTCGCTGCAGGACGACAGCTAGCCTGGTAGGTAGGTACAGGTGGTGGGTTTGGCTTGGTTTTTTTTACCCGACTGCAAGAAAAGGGTTATGTGTTTTTTTTTCTTTAATACAAAGGAAGTAGGTTTTTACGTCGCTGCAGGTGACAGATAGTCAGGTAGGTACAGGTGGTGGAGGTTGGCTTGGTTTTTTTTGAAGTGGTAACTTTTTATGGGAGGGTAAACCGCTATGTTTTTCGCGCCTATCTTTGTATGTTTATTTGTAATATTCTTTATTCCCTCATATCTTCCAAACCACTCGATGGATTTCTTTAATTAAAGTATCGTTAGATTCGTCTCATTACTCCAACTGTTCTTAGATAGGTGACATATAAATATAATTAAATATGGAGGTTGCTAGATTCCATAAAGTAAAAAAGTTGAATAGGTATTTTAAAATCATTATTAGGATCCATTCATCATTTTTCATTTTAAATAACAGTTTAGGATATACAATGATTTAAAGTTGGTTAACAATCATTCTAGCTAATTTTCTTACTTAAAAATATTTAAAAAGTTGTAAGTAAATAAATAATTATATTATAAATATATATTTTATTTTACTTTAAGGAAAAGGAGTAGGATTTTATGTTGGCACAGGATGACAGCTAGACAAGTATAGATGGTGATTGGTTGTTTATTTTGTTTTAAGGAAGAGAGAGTAGGTTTTTATGTTGGTACAGGATGATAGTTAATCAATCGTACATTGCTCCGTCATGACGGGGGAGGTTCTGTTGGGTTTTAGTGGGTAGTACTGGCTTCTCTACCCGGTGAGTCCCACATGACCACATGTATGTATACAGGTGATATGTGTATGTTTGTTTAATATATCTGTGAAGATTGTTTTACTGCTTAATTTCCAATTCATTTATATATTTTTTTAAATACTATAACAAATTTTAACAATTTATGTGCAATGTGTCTCCAACATTAATGATTTTATATATTTTTTTCTACAGGTAATATTTAGTTTCGCAATGAGAAGCAGTAAAGTGAAGTGTCATTACGGACTTGTAAGGGAAGCCTGGCGTATAAATACACTATTTCATACAAACAACAATAGCGCACTTATAAACCACCTGCAAGTATAATAACTGACAGTTGCTTTAAATATATGTAATATTATTTTATATATCATCTGTGCTATTTAACTTTTGAAGCCGAAAATTTCATTTAGGGACTTCATATTGGATCAAAAACAGACATTGCTATCTCTTTCTTGCATGTAATATAAAAAGAGATGTATTATAAGCTTTTTTTTTTAATTTAAAATATGACGTTTACAATCTCTTTATAATATTTATAATATATGTGAATTATTGTATACTGATATTTTTTTTGTGCTGAAAAATGTCTACTTTGAATGATTTTTTGTCTCATAAATCCACATTTCTCTTTCATTCTGCGACGATCTCAGCCATAAAATTTTCGGCCTGTGCGAATATAATATATGCATGTATAATGAAATATTGCAAGTAGACAATAAATGTTTCTTTTTTTTTAATTGGCAACACTTAGCAACTGTCTAAGGCAGAGTATGGAAGTGTGCATATATTTGTTATTTTCTATGTTTTATATCGAAAGAACATTACATTTATCTAAATAGCAGTGGGATGTGTTATTAAAATATAGAGATTTTGGTGAAACTTTCAAAAGATGATAGTGTCCTTGCATGGAGGGATGAAGAAAATTAAAAAAAAATTGCAACACCAATCGGTTATTTGTACATTTTCTTGTATTAAAATATAAAGGAAGTATCAAATCATTCAAAACATATTGTACCATAGTAATAAATTATGTATTTAAACCTTTTATGGCTTTTATTTTATATTTTTAGTTTTATTGTTTGTTTAACATAATTTTCCTTTGGGTTTGGAATAATCTCCGTTCTCTTCTTTATATCCACACAGTAAGTGTGCACTTACGAAGAACTTGACTTCTGTTACTCAGTTTAAATATATTCAACAATACCAACTTCACCGCCCAGTTTAATTTTACCCACTTAGGGGCTGAATATTAAAAAAAACTAAAATACAAGTTTATTTAATTGTATTGAAGATCATTAATACCAAGTTTCAAGTAATTTTGATCATAAACTTATGTTTATGATCAAAATTACTTGAACTTTTTTTGATCACAAACTTATGTTTATGATCAAAATTACTTGAAATTGATTTTCCTCATATAAACAGCACAACCCTCTCTTACCATTTAAAATTTCGATAAAAATTGATATTTTTATTGTTTTATTTTTCATTTCGTAACGTAAATACCACTTTTGAAAAATAACAGAGTTTCATACAATCTTTCATCCCTTATTCTACCCCTTTAGGAGATGAATTTCGAAAAAATTTTTATTAGCGGATGCCTACATTATATAAGGAACATGTCCTCCAAATCTCACGTCTCTACGACCAGCGGTTGAGGCTGTACGTTGATCGATCAGTCAGTCAGGACAGCATTTTTAACCCATTTCAAATTCCAAAAAGGGGGAGGTTCTCAATTCGTCGGAATCTTTTTTTTTATGTATGTTCACCGATTACACGAAGACGCCTGAACCGATTTGGATTTTTTTTTGTTTCAAAGGGTAGGTATATATACTTCACAGGTGGTCCCATATAAATTTTATCGAAATCGGTTGAGCGGTTTTTAAAAAAATCAACAAAAAAGATTTTTTTTAAATAAATTGTTTAATCGAATATGTTATTAAGAAACTTTCTTCTTACAAATTAGCTGCTTATTACGTGTAGACGTAAAAAATGGAAAAATAAAAACCGACAATAAGGCACTGAAATGTAAAAATTAATTAAACGGATGTTTTCATTTAGAATAGATACCTAATCAGAAATTTTTTAAAAAGTTTTTATATGTAGTTACTAGCGGCACACCCTCGCTTCGTCCGGGTTCGTCCTAAGGTTGGATCCCTGTACAAACTTTCATCCCCATTTTCACCCCCTCAAGGGATAATATCGGGATAAAAAGTATCCTATGTCCTTTCTAGGGTCTAAAACTATCTTCTTACCAAATTTCATCTAAATCGGTTCAGTAGATCCGGAGATTATCCCCTACAACGTCACAAACTAACAAACCCAAAAACTCACAAACTTTACCCCCTTATAATATTAGTGTAATATAATGTTAAGGACGCATCGAGGCAGCGAAACGTAATTACGAAATAATTGCATTCGTTTGATCCCTTGCTGTATTGTTATTACTAAAACTTTAATTATACAATTAATATGTAGGATATTTAAGGAGGTTTTCTATAAATCGTACACTTTAGACACACGATTACTTATAGTTTCCTCGATAGAAAAAAAAAACCAAAATGATCTCTAAAAACAAAATAAACCTTTAGTGCGGCGTACTTATATAATTCAAGGAAGTTGACCAGTTCTTTAATAATAACAAAACTATACGTTTTCTATATCGTATACACTTTACATTTTCAAAATGCGTATTTGTTTTAATAATACGAAGGAAATACGTAAATTCGTTCTACTTCCGTCCCCTCTAGCCCAAAGCCAACCTTCCCTCCACCCCCCCCCCCTCCCGCCCTTCTCTCTGTCGTCCTACTAAAATCAATTAGCGCCAAAAGCTCGGTGCCCTTTTAATGTTATTATAAAAAATAACAGGATACCTACAATCAAATATTATATTTGAGTTCTGAATCGCGCTATTAAAGTTTTGTATGATCATTACTATACATGCAGTTCTAAACGCAAGTCAGTCGTGCCTGCTTCGGCAGTACGTATGTACTGCCGAAGCAGGGACGTTTTATATCGAAATAATATTATAATATTATGCATATAATAAAATTGTAACTAAGCCGAATTTGTACATTAAATATTTTTTGGTAAATCTTATTGAAATAAACATTATTATTTATTATCGATACAGAGGCCGAATCTATAGTTTTTAAATTTTTTGTCTGCCTATCTGTCTGTTACCGCATCACAGAAAAGCCACTATCCAGTGGCTTTTCTGTTGTGATTTTGATAAAGTTTGGTATGGTGATAGTTGCTTATCCGGGTTAACATATAGGATACTTTTTACCGCGAGAAAATATCTAATTTCTGAGAGAAAATGCAAAAACTACAACGTAAGAGTATACTAATATGTAAAACCTAAGAATTTGTTTTTTGGTCATCTAAACGCGGGCGGAGTCGCGGGCAATGCTAATCGTTAATTTAATGTTAACGTCGTATCATTGTCATAATCTTACTTGCTAGCTAGTACATAAGTACTAGAAGCCAAAGAAGTATAACTTCTTACGTGCGTACATACTTAAGTAGTATAATTTATGGTCATTTTGAAGTAATTGTGCTTTTTTTAGTTAAAATTATTTCTGTCAAAATCTCAACGTTTTGCTTTTTAGGTGTCTTCCGTAAAGTAGGTAATAGAATTTACAAGTGCTACATAAGTCTTTTTTCGCCCACCTTTCATTTTTGCTCTACTGAAGCATCAGATTTTATATTGTATTAATTCTTGCTATATTAACATATACCTACACTCGTAAATTATGATTATTATTATATTTTGTTGGGTGTGGCGCCGAGGTCGGCCCTAGCTACGTCGACCAGTTATTGTAGCTCCCTTTAAAGTGAATTTAGAGTTCTCCGCTTAGTCCTGTTGACTCCAGGAACTCCCAGATTTTCTGAGCGGGGAGCATCTGTATCACTTCCGGTTGCATAATATGCTGCCCTAGATAGATACTTCTACGGTGCATGAGTTGACCGCACGAGCAGAGGATGTGCATAGTAGTTTCCTCTGTCTCATGGCATAGTCTGCACATTGCGGTCTGACTGAGGCCGAGGGTAGACATATGTTTATTGTACACTCGTAAATTATAAAGATACTTATAGGGAATTTCTTTGATTCTGTGGGAATTACTAATAATTGATTGTAATTGTAAAATGTTTTATCATTTTTGAGCAAGCAATTAAAGTAAAAGTTATGTAAGAAGTGGGCTGTACGTGACAAAATACAATTTATGTGTCATTGACCTATGTCAATATCGATAGCATTATTTACAAAATTAAAAGTATATATTTTATAACTAAATATAAATAAAATAATAGCATGCTTCCCATTTTCACCCCCTTAAGGTGTGATTTCCAGGAAAAAAAACCTATGTTCTTTTCAGGGTCTCAAACTATCTTCTTACCAAATTTCATCTAAATCGGCTCAGGAGATCCAGAGATTACCACCTACAACGTCGCAAACTCGCAATCTCACAAACTCACAAACTTTACGTCTTCATAATATTATAGTATAGATGATATCGTACATCTATGAAATACTAATAAAAGGAAGTCATTGGCGACGGTCTGTCCTTCAATCAACGTTTTGCGAGCTATCTTAAAAATTACTGAACAAAAGATGATGATTTCTGTAGAAAAAATATGTACATATAAAATTGTTGTTTCGTTAAAAAAAAGTTATTTTTTTGCATTTATTATTCAATAGCGTAAATATACACAATATATGTTTTTGGGTACTCAATTGATGTAAATAAAATCAAAAATTTATTAAACATTTCAAATTACATTAATAAGCGTTCAATATTTCAAAAGGAAAACAGGAATTAGGAACCCATATATGACCACTACTTTGCCCGTCTGTCTGGACTTTGACTTAAAAAAAAGATTTCTTTAATTTTACACAGTCTATAAATAAATAACCAAATGTTTTGCATTTCCTTTAATTATAATTTGTAATAAATATATTTTATAACTACAATCCAGCGCCTGAAAAGTTTTCAGTAAACGTAACCATTGCACCCGCAACCGCAACTGCCAGCAATGGAAACCGAACCAGCAGCAGGGAGAACTCCTTCGAAACGAACAGCCCCAAGAATAGGCACCTGTCCACCGATCAGTGTGGAACCAGCAACGGGCAGTTCCCCAATCACTAATACATCACCGATGCCAGAGCCACCGTAAGCTGCTGCTGAAGAGATACCATAGGCAGACTCAGAAGCGAGCAGACCTGCACCTAGACCAACCCCAGAAGCTGCGATACCACTACCCAGACCATACGCTCCAATAGAAGAAATTCCGGATCCTATACCGCAAGCCCTGGAACCCGAGAGACCGGCACCGTAGCTGATAGCAGCAGGAGAAACAGCAGATAGGCGCTGACTGAACACATCCTATAAACATAAAGATTGTTAAGAAAATGTTTATAAACATCAACCAATTTCATTTTTATGATTTATCTATTTGCTTACCCGAACCAAGCACATCTGAACACACAGTAAAAAGAATGCAAAACTTTTCATGTTTAGGGCTTTTTACTAATTTGCGTATTGAATAAGTAAACAGTAAGGAGACTTCTCTGATACAATGACATACAAAGCGATGCTGTACTTTTATATTAGACGTATTATGAAGACTTTAGTGCTATCAACATTTTGCAAGATCCAAACGTTGGCTATCTCTTTAAAAAACTAAATTATGTATACTTTCATATTTTTGCAAAGTAACCTACTGTTTTATTATATATCGGTAAAAAATAAAACTAGTAAAATTGGACATCACGTAAGTACGTTTTTGTAATATATATGCATTTGTTAATTTTCATCGTATGAACTGATAAGGGTTGCGTCAAATTAAGTATAAAAACTCGGTCATTTAGTATTTAGAGGACATTCGTCACCCGATCATTCACAACATACAACATGATGTCCAAAGCTTTCCTTATTGTTTGTGCCCAAGCGGTACTGATTCAAGTAAGTTGTATTGTTTCCTTATGAAGAGAAAATATATGTTAGAATTTACCTTTTACCCATGGTCTTTATATTTTAATGAAAACATGTTTATTACAATGTACAGCTGCACAATACATCGGTTCATATAATCGTTTAGCTGCTGCTCCATGTGCTGCATTTGGGTCATATGATGGTGTTCCTGGAATTGGTTATAATTCTCCTTGCGGTGCCGGTATTGGTTACCCTCAGATAGGCAACTTATACGGTTGTGGCGGTTCTAGCGCTGCTGGATTGGCTGCTTCGAATGGAGGCGGTCTACCAACCTCCAGTGCGTCATGTATCGCGCCCAATGGTGTGTCATTAGTGTCTGAGAATGTTTATGAAGGAGCTTTGGAAGTTGTCGGTGCATTACCATTCTTAGGAACGGTCGCTCTGGAAGGTGCCTTGCCCACTGCGGGCGCTGGTGCTGTTGCTTATGGTTGTGGTAATGGAGAGATTGGCATTTTATCCGAAGATATATCTGGCGTTGGCGCTCTAGGATATGGCGCTGGAGCCTTAGGTTATGGAGCTGGGGCTCTGGGCTATGGAGCTGGAGCTTTAGGATATGGCGCTGGCGCCCTCGGTTATGAAGCTGGTCTGGCTCGTTCAGCTTACGGCTGCAATGGATTAGCCAATTTTGGAGGACGAGGTTCATGTGGATGCGGTGGTCGGATTTAAAGAGTTATACTTCTTCAAGCTTTTGGTTGAAAACAAATAAAATTTTGCAAACTGTACATTTATGGTATCATTTCAAAACGCAGGCGCTTTGGTAATTGTAAATTATTTAACATTAGGTATTTATTCTAAATGAAAACCTCCGTTTAGTTATTTTTTACTTTTTAGTGCCTGGAAGTTGTTTTTTTTTAGTTTTTATTTTTCCATTTTTATTGTAGACGTAATAAGCAGGTAATTTTTAAGAAGAAACTTTTTTTAATAACATATTCGATAAAGACATTTATTTAAAAATAAGTTATTGTAGATTTTTTTTAAAACCGCTCGACCGATTTCGATAAAATTTAAATGGGACCACTTAGGAAGTATACTCTTTGAAACAAAAAAGAATATTCCAAATCTGTTCAGACATCTTAGAGTAATCGGTGAACATACATAAAAAAGAAAAGATTCCGACGAATTGAGAACCTCCTCCTTTTTGGGAGTCGGTTAAAAATTAAGTAAACCTTTAAAACGACCAGATTTGCATTGCTCTTATTGTGTGTTCAGATGTTGATGTTATCTTATGTAATGGTCTTGTCAAATCAAACCAAATAAGCCAAAACTCAAAGTACTGAACTGTTGCCGTTGCAGAGTTCTACCACCTCCTATATATGATGATACCAAATTACTGTAGTATCTTCATATGATACAAGCAAATGTGAAGCTTCAAGTCGATATGACAGTTAGAAGTAGGTAAAAAATAATAATTAGATCTGTAGATACTTCTAATTAAATGTTTTTTCCCGATTTTCTTGAATACTCTATGTCAAAGAAAATTTTAAAGGACCACAAGATATTTAAAAAAATCCATAGAGACGAACATACAACCTCCTCCTTATTGGAAGTCTGTTCTTGGAAGTAGATTGTACATACCTGCTTTATCAGTTTATAAGCAAACGAAATTAAACCTCTATACAATGTTATGCTTAAAACATTTTGAAATTTTTTTTTCTTTTTGACGTGAAACGTCACTTACAAAACTAATTAGCCTTAGAAACATAAATTTAGTGTCATTATATTTAGCTTATATAGTCAGCTAGGTAGCTGTTGTAACCTAGATTTTGTGTCATGGTTATCCGGAGTCGGGATAGGGTATTACACAAATAACCAAAATTGCCATACCCACTCCTTTCTATTCGGTGTAACTCACGAATGAATTCCGACCGTTCGATTTACCAATCGGTCGATCGATCGATTGATCAATCAGTCGATCATTCGGTCGATCAATTGATCGATCAATCTATGATCAATTTAAAAAAAGAAAACCTTTTTTAAGTATTTAACTGTTTCGTTAATTAAGCGTCAATATCATTAATGCTGATTTGTAAGTCAACTCGACCCTGATAATATTTTTAACATCTCAGGGGACGAATTTTGAATAATCTGATTGATAACAAGTATGGCATATTTTTTTATCTTGAATACTTAATTTTAACAATAAAAATGCCTGACTTTTGATCAATTTTTTTTTGATTGAGCGAGCGAAGCGGTTATGAGAGCGTCTCAAAACTGGCAAGGCACGCTTAGTAAGCAACGCCTTATGTTTCGTATTTCTTATATCACAGGCCAATTTTTAACAATATTGTTGTTCAATATTAATCGAAAGAACTTTGTAGACACTACCTAATGTGGCGAAGGGTGAAAGTTTATCAGAGGTAAGCCGTTCCAAAAATATAGATTTTTTATATATGTATTAATGCAGAAAGAAATAAAGCTATTATTATATACATATATAGTGCTTCCGAATAAACATTTATACATTTAAAAAATTAAAGGTATGTAAAATTATAGCAAAATAATTTTAAGGTAAGTAAGATCTTGTATGGACCCTTCGACCACTGCAACCTATTCAGTAAGTATAGTATTAAAATTTAAAACAATTAGGACGAAGTCAATTTTTGTTCTCATTCCAATCTTTAACACTACAAGCGATTCGCTGAAATAGACGTTTCACGTTAAAACAACGGCAGTGTGTCCCGACTAGTGATGTAACAAATGTTCGATTTTTCACATTCTCGAATGCGAATCCGAATGCGAATATTCATCTCCAATATTCGCGAATACGAATGCGAATGCCAAAAAGTATGCGAATATTCGCGAATGCGAATATTCGTTACATCACTAGTCCCGACACAGCCCCATCTGATTGTTTTTCTTATATTTTTATCAACGCGTTGCGTTTAATACCTACACACATACATATTTTTATGTATTTTTTTTCTGAAGATAGATAAAAAGAAAACAAAACTACTTACTACTTTTTAATTTATTTTTTGTAATTTGTCAATTTTAACAATTTTAGCTCTTTCTAATATGTACGTAAATATTTAGGTTACCAATTACCCGGATAAAATGGTTTTATTTTAAAAATACAATACAAAATATTGCCTTACAAATTTTATTTGTTTTCATCTTATCCTCGAAAATTTTAATCCTTTAAATTCGACCATTGCATCCACATGGAGCTCGTCCTCCAAAATTGGCTAATCCATTGCAGCCGTAAGCTGAACGAGCCAGACCAGCTTCATAACCGAGGGCGCCAGCGCCATATCCTAAAGCTCCAGCTCCATAGCCCAGAGCCCCAGCTCCATAACCTAAGGCTCCAGCGCCATATCCTAGAGCGCCAACGCCAGATATATCTTCGGATAAAATGCCAATCTCTCCATTACCACAACCATAAGCAACAGCACCAGCGCCCGCAGTGGGCAAGGCACCTTCCAGAGCGACCGTTCCTAAGAATGGTAATGCACCGAGAACTTCCAGAGCTCCTTCATAAACATTCTCAGACACTAATGACACACCATTGGGCGCGATACATGATGCACTGGAGGTTGGTAGACCGCCTCCATTCGAAGCAGCCAATCCTGCAGCGCTAGAACCGCCACAACCGTATAAGTTGCCTATCTGAGGGTAACCAATAGCGGCACCGCAAGGAGAATTATAACCAATTCCAGGAACACCATCATATGACCCAAATGCAGCACATGGAGCAGCAGCTAAACGATTATATGAACCGATGTATTGTGCAGCTGTACACTGTAATAAACATATTTTCATTAAAATATAAAGACCATGCGTAAAAGGTAAATTCTAACATATATTTTCTCTTCATAAGGAAACAATACAACTTACTTGAATCAGTACCGCTTGGGCACAAACAATAAGGAAAGCTTTGGACATCATGTTGTATGTTGTGAATGATAGGGTGACGAATGTCCTCTAAAAACTAAATGACCGAGTTTTTATACTTAATTTGACGCAACCCTTATCAGTTCATACGATGAAAATTAACAAATGTATTTATATTACAAAAACGTACTTACGTGATGTCCAATTTTACTAGTTTTATTTTTTACCGATATATAATAAAACAGTAGGTTACTTTGCAAAAATACGTATACATAATTTAGTTTTTAAAGAGATAGCCAACGTTTGGATCTTGCAAAATGTTGATAGCACTAAAGTATTCATAATACGTCTAATATAAAACTACAGCATCGCTTTGTATGTCATTGTATCAGAGAAGTCTCCTTACTGTTTACTAATTCAATACGCAAAATAGTAAAAATAGCTAAACATGAAAAGTTTTGCATTCTTTTTACTGTGTGTTCAGATGTGCTTGGTTCGGGTAAGCAAATAGATAAATCATAAAAATGAAATTGGTTGATGTTTATAAACATTTTCTTAACAATCTTTATGTTTATAGGATGTGTTCAGTCAGTGCCTATCTGCTGTTTCTCCTGCTGCTATCGGCTACGGTGCCGGTCTCTCGGGTTCCAGGGCTTGCGGTATAGGATCCGGACTTTCTTCTATTGGAGCGTATGGTCTGGTTAGTGGTATCGCAGCATCTGGGGTTGGTCTAGGTGCAGGTCTGCTCGCTTCTGAGGCTGCCTATGATATCTCCTCAGCAGCAGCTTACGGTGGCTCTGGCATCGGTGATGTATTAGTGATTGGGGAACTGCCCGTGGCTGGTTCCACACTGATCGGTGGACAGGTGCCTATTCTTGGGGCCGTTCGTTTCGAAGGAGTTGTCCCGGCTGCTGGTTCGGTTTCCATTGCTGGCAGTTGCGGTTGCGGGTGCAATGGTTCCGTTTACTGAAAACTTTTCAGGCGCTGGATTGTAATTATAAGATATATTTATTACAAATTATAATTAAAGGAAATGCAAAACATTTGGTTATTTATTTATAGACTGTGTAAAATTAAAGGAATCGTTTTTTTAAGTCAAAGTCCAGTCATAAATGGGTTCCTAATTCCTGTTTTCCTTTTGAAATATTGAACGCTTATTAATGTAATTTGAAATGTTTAATAAATTTTTGATTTTATTTACATCAATTGAGTACCCAAAAACATATATTGTGTATATTTACGCTATTGAATAATAAATGCAAAAAAATAACTTTTTTTTAACGAAACAACAATTTTATATGTACATATTTTTTCTAAAGAAATCATCATCTTTTGTTCAGTAATTTTTAAGATAGCTCGCAAAACGTTGATTGAAGGACAGACCGTCGCCAATGACTTCCTATTATTAGTATTTCATAGATGTACGATATCATCTATACTATAATATTATGAAGACGTAAAGTTTGTGAGTTTGTGAGATTGCGAGTTTGCGACGTTGTAGGTGGTAATCTCTGGATCTCCTGAACCGATTTAGATGAAATTTGGTAAGAAGATAGTTTGAGACTCTGAAAAGGACATAGGATTTTTTTCCTGGAAATCACACCTTAAAGGGGATGAAAATGGGAAGCATGCTATTATTTTATTTATATTTTGTTATAAAATATATACTTTTAATTTTGTAAATAATGCTATCGATATTGACATAGGTCAATGACACATGAATTGTATTTTGTCACGTACAGCCTACTTCTTACATAACTTTTACTTTAATTGCTTGCTCAAATATGATAAAACATTTTACAATTACAATCAATTATATTATTAGTAATTCCCACGGAATGAAAGAAATTCCCTATAAGTATCTTTGTAATTTACGAGTGTACAATAAACATATGTCTACCCTCGTCCTCAGTCAGACCGCAATGTGCAGACTATGCCATGAGACAGAGGAAACTGCTATGCACATCCTCTGCTCGTGCGGTCCACTCATGCACCGCAGAAGTATCTATCTAGGACAGCATATTATGCAACCGGAAGAGATACAGATGCTCCCCGCTCAGAAAATCTGGAAGTTCCTGGAGTCAACAGGACTAAGCGGAGAACTCTAAATTCACTTTAAATGGAGCTACAACGGACCATAACTGGTCGATGTAGCTAGGGCCGACCTCGGCGCCACACCCAACAAAATATAATAATAATAATAATTTACGAGTGTAGGTATATGATAGTATAGTAAGAGTTAATACAATATAAATTCCGGGTTAAAACTGTCCTATTTTATTCCCAAGGTCTCAAACTATCTTTTTATCAAATTTCATCTAAATCGGTTCAGTACTTTCGGAGCCTATTCGGTATAAACAAACAAACAAAACATGAAATCTTTCCTCTTTAATCTATACATATAATAAAATTCTAACTAAGCCGAATCTGTACATTAAATATTTATTTATATATATATCCATGCCAAATTCTCTGACCTAAGCTGTGGATAGAAGGAGGGACATGGCGAAATAATAATTCCTTGTTGAACACGGAACCCTAAAAATTGGTATCCGGAGTTTACTCAAAAAAGTCTTAAAAATTAAATTTTTAATGATTATGATTAAATTTTTAAGACTTCGTATTTGTACATCATACTCGTATGGAGAATATTGAGGATCGTAATGTAGCAAAAATGGGGATCTAATCGATACTAACATTATAAATGTGAAAGTGTGTTTGTTTATTTGTTTGTTTGTCCTTCTTTCACGTCGAAACGGAGTGACGGATTGGCGTGATTTTTTGTGTGGAAATAATTGGAGGGCTGGAGAGTAACATAGGCTATTTTTTACCGCGGGAGTTTACGTAATTCTCACGGGAAAACACTTTATAATCCAATCCAAAAAAAATATTTTTGGTCAGAATTACTTGAAACTTAGTATTAATGCTCTTCAGTAAAATTTAATAAATACATTTTTTAGCATTTTTATGAAATTCATACTAAAAGCGGGTAAAAGTTTGTATGAAAGTACCTTTTTAGCGATTTTTTTATAGTTTTAGCGCGAGTGAAGCCGCGGGTACTGCTAGTTATTTATAATTATAAACTAATCACGGTCAGTATTATTGAGAAGAATAGGAATGTTAACACTCGAAATAATATTTTCGGATCAAACACGACGGAAATTACAGACAACTTAAGGACGCACCGAGGCAGTGAAACGTATTTACGAAATAATTTCGGCCGTTTGATCCCTTGCTGTATTGTTATTACTAAAACTTTAATTATGCAATTAATATGTAGAATTTTTAAGGAGTTATTCTATAAATTTCACTTTAGAAACACGATTACTTATAGTTTCTTCTATAGAAAAAAAATCCAAAATGATCTCTAAAATGCAAAGTAAACCAACCCTTAGTGCGGCGTAAATACCTTATTCAAGGAAGTTCATCAGTTCTTTAATAATAACAAAACTATACGTTTTCTATATCGTATACACTTTACATTTTAAAATGTGTATTTGTTTCAATAATACGAAGGAAATACCTAAATGCGCACGCGTTCCTTCCATCCTAGCCACACTCCTTGCCCACTTTCGTCCTACTAAAATCATATAGCGTCAAAAGCTTGGCGCAGTAAATGAAAAACAACTTAGTTCATATAGGATTTTGTCTTTAATTTACATATAATATGTACAATAAATAAGTATTTTTAAATTCGGGTATTACATCCGTAAAACCCATTACTAGGATAACCCATGTTGTATGGGCCAGCGAAATTAGCAGCACCAAAATCTTCGTTTAATATTGCCACCTCTCCGTTACCGCAACCATAGGCAATGGATCCAGCACCAGCAGTTGGCATAGCGCCCTCAAGAGCAACCGTGCCTAAGAACGGCATCGCTCCAACTACAGAGAGTGCCCCATCATAGGCATTGTCTGATAAGATATTAACTCCGTTAGGTGGGATAGGTGAAGCGCTAGTAACTGGTAGTGAGCCTCCATTAGAAGCGGCAGCAGCTGCAGGACCGTATGCATTGATAGCTCCTAAATTATTAACGGCGTAAGGTGCGTTAGCAGCATAGGGACCACCAGCAAATGGACCGGGAGTAGTAAATGACGCAGGACCAACAAATGGACCAGCACCTGCTATAGGTGAAGCACCAAAGGGTGTGCCAGCAAGCGATAGAGGTTGAGCTATTGCCTGAAATAATAGTTTTTTTGTTTATTAATATAGTAGTTCAACATAGGAAAACTTTTATTGCGAAAAAGTATATAATGATTATAATATGTATAGACATGTACTTGTGAATATAGTACACAGACACAGGGACAGATTAAGAATCTTTACGTATCGGTTACTGCATCGAAAAAGTGACTTGCAGTATTGACTCTAATTAACTCACATGGAGGAATAGGTGAAGGCTAATATTCATACTATATTATATTATACTGTACCGCGCCGTAGCCGAGTGAGCCAGATGGAAGACCAAGTCTTGAGCCACCAATATCTTCAGTTAACATTGCGACTTCTCCATTACCGCATCCGTAAGCGACAGCGCCATAGCCAGCAGTTGGGAGAGCTCCCTCTAGAGACACAGTGCCTAAGAATGGTACTGCTCCAGCAACATCGAGTAATCCTTCGAAAGCGTTTTCTGATACAATAGAAACACCATTAGCAGGTAATAATGATGCGCTAGAAACCGGAAGGGCGCCACCGTCAGATGCAAAAGGAGCTCCTGGTCCACATAAACCAGCACCGAAGGGGCCACCAGCTAAATAAGATCCAGATAATGGACCTGCCGTGGCGCACGGTGCTGCTGACAGTCGAGAGTTGAGGTACTGCCCAGCAATACACTGAAACAATAAATATGAGTTAGCTAGCTATTGATCAATACTATAGTTAAAATATAAATTAATACGGAATAACTAAAGTACATATCAAATACATAATAAATATTAAAAATGGTATTATACTTGTATATAATATATAATAGGGGCTAGCATGTACGGCTGCAGATCCGGAGGTCTTGGGTTCGAGACCCTGTTTGGTCCTAGTTTAATTACAGAGTTTTTCTGTAAAGATATTTTCAGTAGTAGCCCGGAGTTGGGAAGCAGGCGGACCCTTTGTCTCGTAAAGATGTTGGTCCTGCGATTTAACTCTCATGGGTCACTTCGAAGTATCGCTTATCGGACTTTGAGAGTTAAAGGAATTGAGAGTGCACGTTGTGTCTGCGCGTACAGTTATACACTATAATATCTCGTGCGCAGTTGGCTAGTCTCAATGAGATTGGCCGCCGTGGCCGGAAACGGTCAGGAGAACATCATCATCATATAGAAACTGTTTTATAGTTTTTGTATGAACACATGTATGGTTTTGTATGAAACAGATCGAGAGGATATTATTATAATTTGCCTACGTACCTGGATCATAAGCGCCTGTACGCAAGCTAAGACTGCCTTAGAAACCATGTTTACTGTTCCAATATACAGCTAAGAATAATCTAACGAGTAAAAAATAGGCTTTTATACTAATTGTATTGAGGCATATAGGCCTTAGAAATACCAAAAATTATGTAAAAATATTACAATTAATAAGAACGTGACATACGACATTTATTATTAACCAATATTACTTATGAAATTAATGTTGTAAAGTTAATTCAACAATACAAGTAAAAGCGTTTAATTTTAATTATGCTATATATTGTATAAAGCAAAATTAGTTTCGTCTGTCTGTTTCACCGCTAACTTCTTCTAAACCACGCAACACATTTTGATAGGGTTTTCACTATCATCAAAGATTTTCGGGTGTACTTCCGAATAGTCCATACCATTTTGGTATAGATAAATAAATAAATATGTTGGGACATTAACATACAGCACCATCTAGTTCCATAGTAAGCTAAGCGGCTTGTGTTATGGATACCAGATAGTTGATACACTACACATATAGAATTTTTAAATACATACATATTATAAATATAAACACCCATGACTGGAGTACGAACATTCGTGCTCATCACACAAATGAATGCGCCCAGCGGGACTCAAACCCGGCACTGCAAGTAGGGTCAATACAAACTGAGCCAAACGTGTCGTCAAATATACATAATTATGTATTTCGACACGCTGATGACGAATGTGTCATTCAAAATAGGCGAATATTTCATTTTCAAAGTTTTTCACGTTTATTGTAGGTTAGTTGTAAGTAATATAATAAAATACAATAATTTTAAAGTAGTCAAATCGGTTTAGCTGAGAAATTTATAAATATATGTACATAAAATTAATGTGCTCTTGATTGATTTCGGCCTAGTGATGTAACATGAAAAAAATACGTTTTTTTCTTTTCTAACTTTGGTTTTTCAGACGTGCTCTCTCCGAGGCAAGGGGTGATATGTCCGTATATGCAAGCCACTCCACACACAAGGGTCATCAAGGCGGTTGATATGAAATATACCTTATATAGTATATATATAGTATATATAATTGTAACTAAGTCGTATCTGTACGTTAAATATTTTTTGGAAATTCTAATTGAAATAGACATTATTATCGATACAAAGTCCGAATCTATAGTTTTTTTGTCTGTCTGTCTGTCTGCTATCTGTCTGTTACCGCATCACGAGAAAACCACAGGACAGATTTTGATGAAATTTGGTATGATGATAGCTGATCATCCGGGTCAACATGTAGGATACTTTTTACCGCGGGAAAATATCTCATTTCTGAGAAAAAATACAAAAACTGCATTGTAAGAGTGTACTAATATGTAAAACCTAAGAATTTGGTTGTTAGTCATCTGAACGCGGGCGGAGCCGCGGGCAATGCTAGTATATATATACTATATGCGTGGATGGCTCATAGTCTAATCCGTTAAAAGAAACAGTATGTTTAAAAAAATAACAGCGAAACATACTAACAATTTAAACTCTGAAAAATTATCGTAATCATAATCTAATAGAAGACAAGAGAACGTGACAGTCGTTCAAAGAGCTTATTAATAAATAATATGAAGACGGTCAATGAATTCTTATCAATGTTATGTAAGGTTGAAGAGAAATATTGACTTGATTTTTGATTTTAAAATACCAGGTTAAAAAATTGCATGAGTTATCTTAGGTTGCCATAGTAACCGTTGTTATTGTTTGAAAAATGATAGTTTCCGTTTCTATCTTCAAACATTACTATTTTTACTAATATGTTTTCAAATATGCAAAATTTATCCCGACTGATCGATTTATGTATAATTTTTTAAATACGTGTTTTTAATCAAAATTTATAGACAATTATTGCCTAAAATCAGGAAGTGTATAGAAAATATGAAAATTTAATACGTTGGCCTCAGCTCGTGCTGTAGATAGACGTTTCACGTTAAACCAACGGTGCGGCAGTATGCCATGAAACAGCCCCAACCCTTTTTTTAATTCTCTGTTTGTTTAAACCTCTAATCTCTGGAATTGATTTAATATCTATATATATATATATATGTAATAATATATATATATATATATCTTGTTTTTATATTGTAAGGTCAACATGTCTCACTCTTCTAAAAACTTGCTTTCCTGGTAAAAAATAGCCAAGTCAAATCTAGAACTTCAGTTTATCAACTCGTCACTACCAGTGTAAATAATTCTACTGTTCAAATTTAAGAAGTTTCTATTTAAAAATAGCAAACACTTTTGTAGCAGAAAAAAATACAAGAAATTGTATTTTTATTAATTATTAAGCTTTAAAATGCTCAATAGTTATTAAGTTATATGAATTGCTGTTAAGTGGGTTTATTGGTATATTGCTAAGAGAATAAAGGCTATTTTTATTTATCTATATTAATATTATAACGAGGTAACGTTTGTGAGTTTGTGACGTTGTAGGGGTAATCTCTGGATCTACTGAACTGATTTAGATAAAATTTGGTTAGAAGATAGTTTGAGACCCCGAGAAGTATATAGAATACTTTTTATTCTGGAAGTCATCCTTTAAGGGGGGTGAAAATGGGGTTAAAAGTTTGTATGGGGAATCAACCTAGGGAGGAACCCGAGCGAAGCGAGGGTGAGTCGCTAATTAATTTATAAAAGCGCAAAAAACTTGTAATTAGTTATCAAATTTCGACGAAAGGTGTCTGTACTATCCAAGAATCATATTTCAAGAATTTTTATATAAAATTATGATTTTGGTCAAAGCTAGCAAGCTAATCTCATAGAGAATTTGAGTAAGAGATAATATAGTGCAATCTCTATTTCTTTTTGTTTCAATTTAACACGACTGGTGAGATACAAAAAGAGCTCGGAAACCCGATCAACTTTTAAACCGGTTTGGTCACTGACCCCAAACCGAAAGTCTTTTCGTTTTAAGGTTTCGGTTCGTTACGTTCGTTGAACCCGGTAAAACAGTTTTTAACGAATTCAGGTTTTAAAATCGAAATTAACCCGTTAAAATGAGGTTTTGCGTATTAATATTTGGCAAATCTTTGTTTATAATGAATTGCTTAATAGAGCGATACGTGTACGTTTCTTACTTATGAATGAATTAACCTATTTTTAATGCGATATTAAAACCTAAGTCTAATCTTTCTCTAAGAATAACCGTTAAGCATTATTATTTCGGTTTACTAAATCGTTAGTTTTTAGTAATAGCCGTTTAGTGAACGGACGATGAATTAAATATTACTTAACCGAATTTAACCGGGTTTTTTTCGCCTACCCCCGCATATAAGGCATCGGAATGACGGTTTCATTTTGTCTTAAAGGGATTGAAGTACATATTACACCGCGTACTTGTCAAGAATCGACTCAGCTACGATCTGCAGCTTAAGCTATTCCTTGGCACTTAATTTATTTTTGTACTATATAAAATATTCTTAAATTATATTATTCGAGAATAAGCTCTCAGAAATCATTTTGGCAATATATACAAAAACTATAAAACAGTTTCTATAAAATAACATAATCAGAATACACTATGTCGTGAAAATCTCATCATTAGCTGAGTCAAAGTATTACGGACGTTATATTTTGTAGACTTAGCCAATTTTGTATTTTTATAACTTAGAGACAGACCTAACTTTTTACATTTATAAAATTGTCAAAAATTATAGACTTGAAAATAATAAAAAAAAAAGAAACAGCTACAAATACTCGTAGTAAGTCGTTTATTTTAAATCATCATTATTACTGTCATCCATTACTTGTAGATTAGCAATAGTAAGATCTGTTAGCTCCACAGCCGCAGCTACCAGCGATAGTGACTGCTCCAGCGGCTGGCACAATGCCTCCGAACTCCACAGCGCCGAGGATGGGCACTTGTCCACCAATGACAGTGGTACCACCAACTGGCATCTCACCTATGATGGCTACATCACCGATACCCTCACCTCCATAGGCGCCAGCATAGGGGCCTAAACCAAGGGCACCCAGACCGAAGGCGCCCGGAGCGTAAGCGCCAGGGGCACCGAGACCCATGCCGTAGCCACATCCGAAGGGTTCAGCAAGGGCGGCAGGAGCTAGAGCTGGTGAGCCACACCACCGGCTGTATACATTCTAGAAATATGAAATTACTAATTAAATAATGTTCCAAAATTATAATTTAAAAAGGAAAATACATGTAATATCTTTAAGTCACGATGTTTACCTGAACCAAGCAAGCTTGAAGGCAGAATAGTAAGAAGGCGAAGGCGGACATGTTGCTACGTTTGTATTCAACGAAATCGAAGTACACAATGTTAACAATATGTGTTTTGACCCTTTTATACTGTACTCGCCCTATATTTAGATAACTATTTCGTAATTTTCTACGTGTTTTATAGCCACTTCGTTTTTATTTATAAAATTTTAGTATCTGTTTAAATAAGTATCGTACTAAATTTGAAAGACATTATTTTTAACTTGTAATCTAAACATATAATAAAACAGTAACTTGGCGAAATCTGTACATGAAATATTTATTAAAAAAATGACTGTAACGTATGGTGTACAGAATATACACTCGGAAACAATGGTTATGAAAATTTTGTCTCTTTGTCTGTATGTCTGTTTGTGTGTGCGCGTTTCACGCAAAATGTACTAGACTGATTTTAACCAAATTTTATGTAGTGATAACTTATTACTCGGGTCAACATTTAGGATACCTTTTACTACAGGAAAATATTTCATTCCCACGGGAAAACACAATAACAGAATGCATCGAGTCATTCTTAAGAATTTACATGGCTAGCGCTGACCTTAAGAGATACATCAAAACAATGTAATTTTCCGCACCTCGACGACTATGCGCCTATTTTGCGTGAAGTCGTGTGAAGTGTGAAGTTGACGTCGATGTCTGTCTGTCTGTCTGTGTGTGTGTGTGTGTGTGTGTGTGTGTGTGTGTGTGTGTGTGTGTGTGTGTGTGTGTGTCTGTCTGTGGCATCGTAGCTCTTAAACGGATGGACCGATTTCGATGCTGGTTTTTTGATTTGAAAGCCAGTCTCCTTGCGGTGGTTCTTAGCTATGTTTGGTTAATAGCGGTCTAGCAGTGTAAGAGTATCAGCTCTTTTCCAAAATGATTTAAGGCATTTAGGCGTATGACTCGATTAAGTGCTTCACGCGTGCCAGAGTAATCGTTAAATGATAATTAATTTGCGTAGGAGGTTTTTAAAATTTGTAATTTATTTTAAAACTACGATTACAAAACTTATAATCAAAGTACCTATATAGGCACTAAGTTTAATACGCTATTATAAGAAAAATGTTATTTCAAGTTTAAGCGTGATAAATAATATTCTTAGACTCAAGCTGCGTCTTTAAATTTCCTGGCGCTTCGCAGTCAAAACAGTAAGATACATAATTATTATAGATACACAGATGAAGACTAGGGTATGTTTTTGTACTAAAAATACGATTATAAGGCATATCACATTTTAAATCTAAACATCTTCAATGAAATATTATTTAATACAATTTTTAATTTTACTGTAGAACGAGTGTGTAATATTTCTTCCATTCATGCATTTCGATTCTGATAACCTAATAATAATATTATAAATGTCACGTAAAGTACTCGTAGTTACACAAATTAACATTAATTTTCTGTAATTTAAGCTGATAAATATTTTGTTGTCATTAAAAAAGTATAAAACCTTTATATTCTTGCTAATATTCGAGCATTCCGATCCGAAATGGGAACAGTAAACATGATGGTCAAGGCTATCCTTTTGTTCTGCGCTCAAGCGCTAATGATCCAAGTGAGTAAAATCATAGGTGTCTAAAATTATTAAATATTTGAATATTATGATTTAAGTATGTTGATATAATTAATTATTTTTATTTTATTTAGTCAATTGCTGGGAGCTGTATTGGCTCGCGATTTGCTGCCGCACCGTTAGCTGAGATTGCCGGCTCTTGCGCGGGTTCTTGGTCAGCTGCTGGACCTTTAGCTGGTCCCTGTGGTGTTGGTCCATACGGACTGGCCACTGGTCCATACGGACCTGCTGGTGCAGTCGCTTCCAATGGCGGTGCTCTACCAACATCTAGCGCATCAGGTATACCCGCAAGTGGAGTTTCTCTTGTATCAGAAAATGTTTACGAAGGAGGTCTGTCAGTCTTTGGAGCTTTGCCTTTCTTGGGAACTGTGGCATTGGAAGGTGCTCTGCCAACGGCTGGTGCTGGAGCAGTCGCTTTCAGCGCGGGTAACGGACAAGTCGCCACGTTGAGGGAGGATATCGGCACCGCGTGTGGTGCTGGGCCATACGCTGTTGATGCTCTTGGTTATCGCGCTGGAGCTTTCGGCTACGGAATGGGTGCACCTGGCTTTGGTGCAACTCTCGCCGGACCTTATGCTCGTGCTGGATGCGGCTACGGTGTGCTCTTTTAAAATCCATGATTTAATTAATTTCTTTCGATCTAATGCAACAAATAAATAATCATAAGCAATTTTAATTTTATTTATTCGTGCTTAATCTAATCCATACTTAATATTAAATATATAAATGTGAAAATGTTTTTGGTTGTTAGTTTGTTTGTCCTTCTTTCACGTCGAAACGAAGTGACAGATTTGCGTGATGTTTTATGGTGATATATAATATATATATGGTGATATATATATATATATATATATATATATATATATATATATATATATATCCGCGGGTTCTGCTAGTAACTTATAATAATTATAAGTTATTATACTTAAAAAGTTATTCGAAACAGGAATTTCTTTAAGAGCGAGTATTTTTTAGTGCCAAATATGAGTAAATTAAAACTTTGTTAATTTTGTTCCCTACGCGTAGAAGGATACGTGTACGTTTTTTTATTTAATTTAAACACTTTATTGCACACAAAAATATAAATAACACATACAAAAAAAAATATTTAAAGGAAGGTGCAAAGGCGGCCTTATCACTAAAATTGATCTCTTACAGGCAACCGTTAGAAGTAGGATACAAAAGTAAACAGAAAGCGGAAAGGTGCATAAAGTGTACTCAATAAACGTATTACATAATATAAACATACATAAAAATTCACACATATATATATATATATATATATATATATATATATATATATATATATATATATATAATACTATTTACTATATATATATATATATATATATATATATATATATATATATATATATATATATATACTACTCGTTCCAGAGTTTCACCGTCTTAATGGTGAAAGATTCACTATAGGATTTTGAATGGACAAATGGGATTCTAGTAATCTTTCACTGCAAGAGCGAGCTGGGAACTTGCCTCTAGGAACGTAAAGTGTTCTTTGAGGTAGGTGGGAGTGTCAGGTTGGTAAAGGATTGTGTATAATAGAAAAAGCGCATGTAAATTACGTCTATTGTGAACTGTTAGCCATCTCAACTGTGTCAGATACTGCGTAATGTGGTTATACTTCCTAAGTCCAAAAATATATCTTATAATAAGATTCTATAGACGCTCAAGCTTATTGAGTAATTGCTGAGATAGATCTAGGTAGCAGGAGTCAACATAGTCGAGTATCGGCAATAAAAGGGAGTTGGCTAAGAATATCTTGGTTTTAACCGGCAACAGGTTTTTCCACCTTCTCAAGGTGCCAATAGCAAGACATATCCTACGGCTAAGTTGAGCAAGTTGAGGTATCCAGGAGAAAGTGCTGTCCATTATGATCCCTAGATTTTTGACACTACTGCTGTATTCTAAATGGACATGGACATTATCAAATGAAATGGGAGGGAGGAGCTCGTTACATACGTTTCTTACTTATGAATGAATTAACCGATTTATTTCGGTGTTAAAACCTAAGTCTGCAGCTTAATTAATAAAATAAATTAATCCTTGACACTTATTTATTTTTGTACCATATAAAACGTTCTAAAATTATACGATTCGAAAATAAGCTTTCAGAAATCATTTTGGCATAACTATAAAGCATTTTCTACAACCTTTTACATTTGTATATAAATATAAATAAATAAAATAAAAAATGTAAACAGCTATAAATATACGTAATAAGTCGTTTATTTTTAATCATCATTATTACTGTCATCCATTACTTGTAGATTAGCAATAGTAAGGTCTGTTAGCTCCACAGCCGCAGCTCCCAGCGATAGTTACAGCTCCAGCTGCTGGCACAACGCCTCCGAACTCCACAGCGCCGAGGATGGGCACTTGTCCACCAATGACAGTGGTACCACCAACTGGCATCTCACCTATGATGGCTACATCACCGATACCCTCACCTCCATAAGCGCCAGCATAGGGGCCTAAACCAGGGGCACCCAGACCGAAGGCGCCCGGAGCGTAAGCGCCAGGGGCACCGAGACCCATGCCGTAGCCACATCCGTAGGGTTCAGCAATCGCGGCAGGCGCTAAAGCTGGTGCGCCACACCACCGGCTGTATACATTCTAGAAATATGAAATTATTAATTAAATAATGTTCCAAAATTATAATTTAAAAAGGAAAATACATGAAATATCTTTAAGTCACGATGTTTACCTGAACCAAGCAAGCTTGAAGGCAGAATAGTAAGAAGGCGAAGGTGGACATGTTGCTAAGTTTGTATTCAACGAAGTCGAAAAACACAATGTTAACAATATGTGTTTTGACCCTTATATACTGTACTCGCACTATATTTAGGTAACTATTTCGTAATGCTCTACGTGTTTTTATAGCAAATTTGTTTATATTAAAAAAATATACGAACTAAATTAAAAAAAAAAAAACATTCTTTTTAACTTGTAAATCTATACACATTTGTGTTTGCCCACTCAAATATACCCAAATATATCATTAAAATCGTCCCTGCCGTTTAGGAGATAATCAGTGGCACACCGACTCCAACGCCACCTACCGGGTTCAATTGTTTTTTCAAACCATCCAGGAGCCCATTGAAATATGTACACAAAATTTCATCTAAATCGGTCTAGCCCTTTAGGAGGAGTAGGTTAACAAACAGACGCACAGAAGAATTGTACATATTAAGATGTTAAGGACGCACCGACGCAGCGAAACATAATTACGACATAATTACGTTCGTTTAATCCCTTGCTGTGTTGTTATTACTAAAACTTTAATTATGCAATTAATATGTAGAATATTTAAGGAGTTATTCTATAAATTTCACTTTAGAAACACGATTACTAATAGTTTCCTTGATAGAAAAAAAAATCCACAATGATCTCTAAAATACAAAGTAAACCCTTAGTGCGGCGTAAATATCTATTTCAAGGAAGTTCATCAGTTCTTTAATAGTAACAAAACTATACGTCTTTTATATCGTATACACTTTCCCGTGGTAGAGTAAAAAAGTTAAAGTGACTCATACATCTTGGTACACAAAACTACTGATTTGATTTTAATGAAACTTTACAATAATATAGTTCATACATCAGAATAACAAATAGGGTACTTTGTATGCCGGAAAAATGTACGGTTCCCATGGGATAAATTTGTTTTTGTTAGTTAGTCGTTTGTCTAGAGGCGAACCTGAGCGAAGCGAGGGTGAGCCGCTAGTTATAATAGTATAAATGTGAAAGTTTGTGAGTATGGATGTTTGTGACTCTTTCACGCCAGAGCAGAACGGATCTGGATAAAATTTGGCACAGAGATAGATTATAGTTAGGAATAACACATAGGCTACTTTTTATCCCGGAAAAATATATACGGGTCCTTTGGGATAAGTTGGTTTTTTTTCCTACTTAGAGGCGACCCCGGGCGAAGCGAGGGTGAGTCGCTACTATTTCATATGATGATCCTTTTCTGCATTTTGAATGAAACTCATTCATTTGTCAAATAAAATTTTAGTTTAAATATATTTTTTTAATGTATGATCCAATTAAAAATAGGCCGAGGCGATTAAAGTCTACGAACCTACTACTATCAACCCGAAGCAAGTATTGTCACGTCACGTTTTCTTTCACAACCCATGAACATGAATGGAGCTCACTGATAATAATTGTAATATAAAAACTACTATATAAAGTGACAATTTAGTAATTTATTACATTTTTAAGTTTATTCTCGAAGTGTAAACAAACAAACAACAAAATGTTCAAGACTCTTATGCTCATCACCATCCAGGCCTTAGTCATCCAGGTATATAAACATTATTTACTCTAATAGAGTTGGGACTGTATTATAAATGCGTTTTTTTATGTGTATGTCTGTGTGTTTGTATGTTTATTACTCCTTTACGCTCAGTAGGCTGGATTCGTTTGTATAAAATTTAGTACACAGACAGACATGACTCGAGGCTATATATATTCTACGGCTAGGAACCTACAGCCTACAGCTAGGGGAAGTCGCTAGTAGTAAACAGTAGTTTGAAAACATTATTTTTAAACATTTAATTAACATATTGGTTATATAAATAAAAAAGCAGGTAGTGGCAATTATGATGAGAATTCCTAAGTTACGTTAAGTATTAAAATTATGCAAGTCGTCGTCGTCGTCTCAGCCCAAACACGTCCACTGCTGGACATAGGCCTTCCCCAAAGATTTCCACGACAACCGGTGTTGCGCCATCCGCATCCAGTGGACTCCATCGACTTTGACCAAGTCGTCGGTCCACCAAGTAATAGAAAAAAACATACATATAGATGAACGTAGAGTCTCCTCCTTTTTGGAAGTCGGTTAATTATGGTGTATTTTGTCACAGTCTAAAAAGACACTTCTGATGTTTTTGGGAATAATAAATTCGATAATCCACTTGTTTTCAGAACATCTCTGGTATCCCAATCGGTGCTATACGGAATGCTCCCTGCGCATCATCCTATGCTCCACTTTCATCACTTTATGGATCCTATGGTCTATATAACCCAGCAACCTTAGCTGCATCTAATGGTGGAGGTCTCATCGTCACAAGCGCTTCTCCTATCGAACCTATTGGTGTATCCGTTCTGTCAGAAATTATTATCGAAGGAGCTCTTGGAGTTATTGGAGAAGTTCCATTCTTAGGAACTATCGCTTTAGAAGGAGCTTTGCCAACCCTTGGTTCTGGTGCAGTTACTTATGGTTGCGGTAATGGAGCTGTTGGTATGGTTGCTGAAGACTACGCAGGTGCTTACAGTGGTTACGCCTCACCTTATAATTATAATGTGTATGGTTATAACGGTTGCGCCGGATACGGAATAATGTTTTGATAATTTTGTTGTGTTGTGATCGATCAAATCACATTTAAATGGTTATATTGTTATTTTCTTATTTTTATAATTACATCAACGTTCACGCGCTGTACGTAGTGTTTTTACTTTGTGTCATCCCATGAGTGAGAACTTTAAAATTATATTATTTTTGTTAAATACCCATATTAACAATTAATACAGGCATACATACAAGTAAAGAGAATACTATAAAAAATAATAATAACTATACACTTAGCCTGATATATCAAGTTACATATAAAACAGCATCAGTTTTTAAAATAATTAAAGAAGAACATGAGTTTTATATTTGAATTGTTCCGCCTGTTGGCTGAGGCATATAAACTTATTTTTATTATTATTATTATATAAAAAAAATATTAAAATATTAAATTTGCTTATTCCATCTGTTTGTTTTAATTCATGTTTTAAGCATTTATCTGGTTTATGATCTACCCGTAAATTAAGTGAAAAATTAAAAATTAAAAAAGCCAGACGGAAAATTGTGACTTGAAATAATCTGGCATGATTAAGGAGCAATAATTCATCCATTCAAACTTTCGCATTTATAATATTAATGGGATTAATGGAATGAACGTCAAATTAAATAAGTTAGTCTTGATACTTTCAAGTATTAAGACAAGCTTATTTATCGCTTTAGGTCTCCGGCTGGGTACACCGCTATGCACTGAGTACAGATGCCCGTGTGGAAAAGAGGTTGGCTGTTATAGACTCCGTGGACTCTCTTGCAGAAGATGTTCAGGTAGACTTTTCCGTCATGATAAACGATACCATCAAAGGGCTTTTGCCACTTAACTTAATAAGTCGAGACGATGGTAAGAGCCGATGGCCTGTCACTGGTTCCTTGAGAAATGCGACAAGCCCTATTGTGGGACGCCACATGCGTTGACACATTGGCTCCGTCCCATGTTAGGGAGACGGCATCGTAAGTGCCGTGGAGATGGCTGGACTAATTATGTTACGTAAATACGCCTTCTTTAGTCAAAATTATGTTTTTATTCCATTTGCTATAGAAACCCTTGGCCCATGGAGTCAAAGTGCTAAGCACTTCTTAAAGGACATTACACCTCGTCTTGTCGCCTCTACTGGTGGTGGAGAGCTGGGGCATTTTTCGCCCAAATAATTGGTATTGCCATTTAACGAGGGAATGCGGCTAGCATTCGTACCACTATTCCACGCGGGCATGACTTGTACAATAATAACTAAGTCTACATTTGTTTTGTATATACTTACATATAAGGCAGTGGTAGCCCAGTGGTAACGCGCTCGCTTGGGAAACCCAGTGAAGCGAGTTCAAATCCAGGGTCTCGCACCTCTAATATTTTCATGTGCGAATCATTTCCTACATGATTACCACTTGTCTTAACGGTGAAGGAAAACATCGTGAGGAAATCTGCATGTCTGAGAGGTCTGAGAGAACATTATATTTGTAATTTTCTTTATTGTTATTATAAGCAATTAACTTCCCATTGCTGGATATTGGCTTTGAATACGAGGGGAATCTTGCCATAGTTCACCAAGCTGGGCAAGTGCAAGTGAGCGAACTTCACATGTCTTTCGAAAACTTGCTAGATTTTCTCATATATGCAGGTTTCCTTAAAAAAAATTCCTTCATCATAGTCCGTAAAATAAGTGGCAATCATGTTAGAAATGATTCGCACATGAAAATACCAGAGGTGTGAGATCCGTGATTTGAACCCGTTTCCTTCGGTTTTCCAAACGTGCGCGTTACCATTGGCCTACCTCTGCCATATTTTCATGTGCGAATCATTTCCAACATTACAGTTATAATTATAATATTGTTAAAAACAAATAGCATGGAGAAAGATAGTAATTAAATGTAAAAAAAAATATCCGACATGAACATATATGTATTAATTACTTATAACTTTTGCAATTAGTGATGTAACAAAATAAACGTGCGATAATACGAATTACTAATGTTTATATAATGCAAATAATTTAGAAGGTGACTTATCTCTTTTATCTAATAAATTCAAATTTTTGCAATATAAATCTTAATATAAAATTGGATTGTTTGTCTGTGACTATGGTATTTACATTGTAATATACATTTGTATGTGTATATCATATATTAAGTTCTAAACTGTAGCCAAATTGGCTATTAAATATTTTTTGTCGATCTGTATGTCTGTTTGTTTCATCGTACTCGCAAATTGATGAATTTCTGTGTATCTTTTTTGGACATATTTATTATTTTATATTAATATAACTTTTTAACATTAAAATATTAAAAAAGTCATTCATTTATTGAAATAGTCTTTAATATTGAGACAGTAACCCAATCTATAGTTTTCAGAATTTTTGTTTGTCTGTCTGTCTGTCTGTCTGTCTGTCTGTCTGTCTGGGAACGCATCACTAGAAAATCACTGGACAGATTTTGATGAAATTTGGTATGATGATTTATCCGGATCAATATATAGGATACTTTTTATTTGTGTGGGAAAATATTTCATCCCTGAGATCTATTATACTAAACGTTAAAACGTAACTAGGGACGAACCCGAGAACAGCGAGGGTGAGTCGCTAGTTCTTTTATTTGTTTGTTTTTATGGCTCCAATATATCGTTGTAAAAACTTATGCTTGTAGGTTTACCTGCCAACTTCAAAAATTTTGCGTTAATTTTGGTTAAACATACTGTAATTTTAGTTACATTGAATGGGAAAAAAATAAAAATATCATTAGAACAGCCCACTCCACGTTATTAAATATCTTCATCGTTTTTTTTAGAAACATTCAGCAACAACAGAACTATTTTATAATGACACGTAAATTTACATAAGAGTTATTTGTAAAAAAATTACAAAATAGGTCAGATAATACTGAAAGAATGCAAAATAAAATCTGCGTATAAAAGCAAGTATAAAATTACTTAGAACATTCAGTTTCTTGTTCCATTCATTATAGAAACAACCATGTCCTCTGCAGTCCTTCTTTTCTGCACAGTTGCAGTGTTTTTAGAGGTAAGATTAAATATTTTTCATATAGAAGTTTGAATTTAATATTCGTTAAATAAATAAAGTTCTCCATAAAAAATTTTGGTCACGACCGAATTTCGATCAATTAAGAATTGAGACTTGCTTCTTATAATGCACAAGTACACAAAGGACTTATCCATAGAGTATAGTCTAGTTGGACTGCAAGCCCAAACGACCGATGAGGGATCAGAAGCATTATCGATAGTTTCACGTAGATAATATACTTGCTTGGGAATCCGAATTCCTTGGGTTCAAATCCCGGGTCTCGCACCTCTGATATTTTCATGTGCGAATCTTTTCTATCATGATTACCACTTGTCTTACGGTGAAGGAAAACATCGTGAGGAAGCCTGCATGTCTAAAAGAACCTAAAGTTTTCGAAAAACATGTGAACTCTGCCAAACCGCACCTGCCGGGCGTGGTGGACTATGCCCTGATCCTCCTCGTATTGAAGGGAGGCTCACACCCAGCAGTGGGACATTAAAAGGGCCGAGTACATAGACAATATAATAAACATAAATCTCCTAACGCCGAGCTTGTACTATATTTTAATCGGTCACAGCCCAAACCGGTAACCAAACCATTCGTTCATCATTCATTCAATTCATCTTACGTGCTCAAACATCTAAACACGTCTTATAATAACATAGTTCCTATCTCGAGTAAATTCTTATCAATTTTGCTGCAATAGTTAGTCCCTCAAAGTTATAAAACATAATTAGGAATATTTTTATTTTTATTTTCAGGGTGCCTTTGGCCAATGTATTCGAAATGGAATAGCCCCAGGACTTGCCTGTAACTCAGTAGTACCTTCTGGGCTAACTTCCAGCTCTCCATATGAGACATCAGCAAATTGGGGATCAAACTGCGGGCTTGGAATTCCTGCCCTTGATTTTAGTATTGTTAGTGCAAATAAAGGTGGAATGTTAAATGTTCAAAGTTCATCGCCTATAGCGCCAAGTAGCATAACCGTCCAATCAGAGAACACTATCGAGGGTACTTTATCAGCTATTGGTACATTACCATTTCTTAGCGTTGTGACTTTGGAAGGCTCCCTACCAACACGTGGTTCTGGCGGTGTTGAATACCACTGTGGAGAAGGTATTGCACTATTAAGTGAACATTTCGGTGAAGATATTTTGAATGGAGGTATAAATAGTATAAGTAATGAAGCAGTAAATGTTCAGCGTAACTATGCTTTAGGATGTTTGGCAGCAAGTAATGGAAGAAATGATAATGGTATTGTAGGTAATCATTTTAGATCGTGTCTTGAGTCTACAAATTTAAAAAATTCCAGACCTGGAAAAATGTTGGCTGGATATTGATGTAGTGATATTTAATTAATTCAATGTTGAATAAATAGTTTATCAAATTTATTGTGTTTTTATTTAAGTAAATTACTATGTATAATGCTACGATGATAATTTTATTTACAAACGTATGATAATAATAATTATTTTTCCTTTTAACTTTGTTATATATCTTGTTTTTATTTAAGTAAATTACTATGTATAATGTTAATTGGTAAATGTTAATTGTGGGTAGGCTGTCTGTAACAACTATATCTTTAAGACATGTAACACCTCAGTCTCTCCCGTGACCATGGATGCTGTAAAGCATTCGAAACGTCGGGAACCAAAAATCAAAATAAATCCGCGAAATAATCCGAAAAGATAGTTTTATTTAATAATGTCAAACATTCGCGTAAATCTAAGAAAGTATTAAACAAATAATAAAAAAACATATAAAAACATTTTTTAAAGTTCGTAATCGATCATCTAAGTGAATATACTACTAACATAGAGTAAAAGTCATATAAATAAAAAGTACATGTACGATGGTAAGAAACCTTTCGTGTTCAAATTCGACTCACACTTGACCGATTTTTATTTCTTTTCATTTTATCTGGTCTCATGCTGACAATGTCTTTTAGTGCCATCTCGTCATTTTTTGTGGTATTAGCATTATCGCTAGTGGATGATAATCTACTGAACGAGTGGTCTGGCGTCGGTCGTTGAGGTACTCTTGCTAAAGTATCAAAGTTGCTAAGTTAGAAGTCGATATAACAACGTTATGTAATTAAAGCATTTGCTTTGTACTTGACCCCACTGATCGGAATAAGTTTATAGTGAGGGTCAAGCGCCTAACTATATGAATCCAGCAAGGATTTTTGTATGTGAAATATGTCGATTTATCCTTAAAATTAATCTTAGTAGATTCTTATAATAGAGAGTGATTGAAAACAAATTGCATTGCTTGTACTATTTTAATATATTAGTTTCACCTTATTTAGATAACAGATTTTTTGTCGTCATTTCGTGTCGTTAGCTATTACAGCATTGCATTTTATTTTATCATTTTTCATTTTAACATTGATTAATTTAAGATAATTTTTATATTAAATTATATGTCGACGTAACTTAATTCCAATATTACAAAATAACCATATCTTCCATTTATCAGTTAATTAATTTCATAATTATTAGGTATAAAAGGCAATGTTAGAATCTCATCAATCATTATTATTGATCGTATCCGTGTATCTAACTAAAGTGTTGACTTGTACTGCACTGTACTTGAAGAAAATGGCATGTAAATTTGTTATAGTCTGCATTTCTGCAGTTTTCATTCAGGTAATATTTTCAAAAAATCCTTTTGCGACTTTTATTTTTTTCTTTAATATTTACTGTATTTTATATATATATTTAATACATATAATTACAGACGATATCAGGACAATATATCAACAGGGCATACAATGGTGCTCTTAACGCTGGTATAGTGGCTGCTGAAAACGCAGCAATAGCAAATAATATGGCATATGGACCTATGGCACCTAATGGCTTAGCTTATGCTCCTCTGGCAGCAAATGGGATTGCCAACGGCTTAGCATACGGAAATGTGCCAGCAAATAGCATTGCCAATAATTTGGCTTATGATGTCGCATTGGAAGCCAATCAAGCTAGCGGTTTAACAAGTGGTGGCAGTTTTAGAGTGACTAGCTCATCTCCCATGGCAGCAAGTGGTATTACAGTACGTTCAGAAAACTTGTTGATTGAAGGACCTTTGGCAGTATCTGGTCAAATGCCATTTACAGGTGTTGTGGCTTTAGAAGGACCCTTACCAGCAGCTGGCCAGGGTTCAGTAGCTTATGGGTGTGGAAACGGGAATGTTGGGATCCTTAGTGAAGGTGTAGAACCAGGCTATGTTAATGGGCTTGGAGTGGAGGCGGCTCTTCCTGGGGTTGGTTATAATGTCAATAAAGCAGGCTACGCAGCTCTTTATTGATGATTCATTATTTTGTTAAGTTTTGTAGTGATTTTTATTTTAAATAAATTATAAATTATATCAAAATTGAATCTTCTCATTTGATTTTTTCTAGACCAAAAAGTTTGTAATATCATATTATAGAATATCTTATTTACATTCATACGCTTCTTTTTTTTAACAAAAATAAGTTTTTTTTTTATTTAAACATATCTTTAATAATATTTGAGAGTTAAAATATTTAACAGTTGGAAGATAATAAAAACTTTTTAGCAAAAAAATAAAAACCGACTTCAAACAAAAGCACTAAAAAGTAAAAAATAACTGATTGGTAGTTTTCATTCACTATACATACCTAATCAAATATATTCGAAGTCGGTGTGGTTTGATTTATATGGGCTGGCACCGATTTCGAAAATATTTGATTAGGTATGTATTTAATAGGTAGGCTTTAATTACTTAGCCAAAGGTTTTGTTTTGGTTATTGTTGTTTGAATGCTTTTTACAAATGGTTTTTTTTTTCTTATATTTAATCCTGATGAAAAACAAATAGTATAAGATCCCGATCTATATGGTGGACCCCTCACTCTTTTTCCAGGCGAAAAATATTAACAAACACGACCTAGGGGGGTTGTCACAAAAAAGCTTCAGGCTGTTGTAATTAAAAAAACCTCACTAGTCTAGAGATGTTTTGGTATGACAACCCTATATTATTGTAATGTCGTGCGAATGCCTTCCAGTTTACAGCAAATATGGTTACGTAAGAAATTAAAGATTTTGAGGACTTTTTTGGACACCAGATAGTTGATACAGTACACATATATAATTTTAAATACATCAATAATATAAATATAAACACCCATGACTGGAATACAAACATTCTTGTTCATCACACAAATGAATGCCCCCAGCGGGACTCGAACCCGTGAATTTTCGCACAGCAAGTAGTGTCACTACAAACTGAGCCAAAGATGACTTTAAAAGTCATAGTTTATCAATCATACCATCAAGCAGTGTCTACCTACGAAAATTACACAATCATTTGAAAGAAAAGAGAAATGGAACCTTACAATTTCTGAGTTCACGTGTTTGATTGCGTGATACCAAAGTTTAAACAGTCATTTATTTTTATTATAAAATACTTTTAGTGGCTTCGTAACATTAAGTTACATATACAATAAATAAATAATAAATAAATATGTTGGGACATTCATACACACCACCATCTAGTTCCATTCTAAGCTACGAGGTTTGTGTTATGTATACCAGATAGTTGATACACTAGTTATATTTTTGGAGGCAGCCAGGGATGCAAAGAAATGCAATTTATATAAAAATTAATTTATTAACTAATAATTTCTTACTACTAAAGTGACTGTCGATCGATGTTAGATCAAATCAGTGAAGATGCAGCCAAGTAATGCCTTTTATACTACAATATTATAGGAAGTTGTGACAATGGCATTGATGAAATGTAGGTGGCTGCTGCGCTTGCACTTGCGCCTGACCTTGTCTTGTCGTCGCCGTGCGAGGTTTGTAGAGCAAAGCTGATGCGACGATTCGAGTTCCGTAACACCTCCCCCCGTAGAACAGCGACTATTGCAGGACAGGAGGTCCAAGATGGTCGCTGTTGGAGCTGATGGTCGGTGATCGGCCCTCTTATTTGTGGTTTCAGGGCCATTGCTGTGATTTTCAGATTACTGTAATTTTGGTTTCATCTCCTTAGCGTAGCTGGCGGTACAGAAGCGTAGCGATTAGTCATGTGGTCGTTTGAGTTGATAGTATATGTAAGTTGGTGGCATTTCAGTGGGATGACTGCTGTAGAGAGAGATATTGTTCGTATTCTAGGTCTATAAATCCATGCAGGTTTTGACTTGCAGAGAGATAATCAATTTCTTCGGACATTCTGTCTCTATATACCTATAATCTTAGCTAGAGAGTGCTAAAGGGTAAGGTAAGGGCACAGATCATATAAGGTAAGGATGAAATGTAGGTACATAGATTCTTTAGGGGATTTAGAAGTCAAAGGGCAAAATATATTTATATAACCATAGCTAGAATATATTTATATAACCATTACTAACTGCTAGTCTAGTTTCAAAATCACAAAATTTTATATATAGGATTTCATTAGCTATTTATCTACATATGATAAGAAAGAATTTTGAAAGATATATAATAAATTAGACTGACATTATTTTTTAATGCTAATTCTAATTTTGATTCATATCGTGCTTAGTAAGACAATTTTAAATGTGGATATGTAATCTAGGATACTGGGTTTTCTTTTAAATATATATATTAGGATCTAGACCGTCAATGAGACGTCTCTTATTACGTGCAGAATTATTATATACTAAAGAGATGTTCTATGTGATGTGATTATCTTTTATTATTTAATAAGGGTGGATTCATAGGAATTCTATTAACTTGAGGTTTAACTACTGGACCGCGATTTTTTTTGGAAATTTTGAAAAATAAAAGAACACACAAAAAATTATAATAAATCAATAATTTCTATTTTCAAAAATATTTCCTAATTCCCTATTCGCATCGATTTGCGATATTCTAATAATAGGAAAAAGGGAAATTCAGTAAAGGATAATTATAGATAGTAGAGGTAAGCCACTCTAGTAAGATCTAGGTACTCACCAAATAATTTGTATCTCTCTGCTGTATCAATTTTTGGATACTCCGCCAGCCGCAACTCCCGTAGGTTCGAAGATAGCCGCTATCGGTGAACGATTCACTGACTCTAAGTTACGACTATCCTTCCGACTGCGCCAGTTATATTTTTGGAGGCAGCCAGGGATGCAAAGAAATGCAATTTATATAAAAATTAATTTATTAACTAATAATTTCTTACTACTAAAGTGACTGTCGATCGATGTTAGATCAAATCAGTGAAGATGCAGCCAAGTAATGCCTTTTATACTACAATATTATAGGAAGTTGTGACAATGGCATTGATGAAATGTAGGTGGCTGCTGCGCTTGCACTTGCGCCTGACCTTGTCTTGTCGTCGCCGTGCGAGGTTTGTAGAGCAAAGCTGATGCGACGATTCGAGTTCCGTAACACACTACATATATATAACTTTAAATACATATATTATAAATATAAACACCCATGACTGGAGTACAAACATTCATGCTCATCACACAAATGAATGCCCCCAGCGGGGCTCGAACCCGCGACCGCTGGCACAGCAAGTAGGGTCACTACAAATTGAGCCAAAGTGTCGTCTTACATATGGCTAGTCTTAGTAAAATTTAGAGATCAACGCTAATTATTTAATCGATTTGAAACTTTGATATGAATTTTGGTTTACAATTCACTAATTTGAATCCATCTAATTGATCTGATATCTAACTAGGAGGTATATAATAGTAATTCTCCAATAATTACCAGTACTAAACCTTTTCAGTGTGATTATTTAATTTGCTACAGTTATATTTAGACGACCATTCTATTGTATCCGGAAATATTATCGGAAACGCTAAGATCAGCTGATGAAAATCATGGATATATCAATGAGTTATTATTATTATTATTATGTTAAGTTTATGCCATAGGCAGTGGTAGCCCAGTGGTAACGCGCTCGCTTAGGAAACCGAGTGAAGCGGGTTCAAGTCCCGGGACTCGCACCTGTGATATTTTCATGTGCGGATTTCTAACATGATTACCACTTGCCTTACGGCGAAGGAAAACATCGTGAGGAAACCTGCATGTCTGAGAGAACCTCAAGTTTTCGCAAGACATGTGAAGTCCGCCAACCCGCACTTGGCCAGCGTGGTGGACTATGGCCTGATCCCCCTCGTATTGCAGGGAGTTATCTGTTTCATATTTTATTTATATTATATACTATTATACACCAACAACAACAAATACTTGAACATGTGCTGATATTTTTATTTGTGTAGATTTTATGGAATGTTTCATTTATTGTAATTTCAAAATACAGAAAGGTTTTTTCAAATACATATACTATTATCTAACACTTGTGACATAATTATCAATAATTACATAAAACCTTCACCTTCTTTCGTATTCGTGCTTTAATATAACTTTACTTATCTTTTTTTTTAAGCAATAATGAAGTACATACTCGTATTGTCCTCGAACATAATTTCTTGGAATAAATGTAGATTAGAGAGCTGACACTGAGTGGTTGCACGTGAATATGTAAGTTTCTGTATAAATTAATATCCCTGTTTTTAAAAATGATCCATGACGCTTATACTTTTAATTTTGGGATATGCATACCACCTGTATAATTCATCACCTGTATGGATACAGGTGGTATGCGTAATTGCTTTGTATGTCATGCGTTATATGGGACCTATTGGCTAGAAAAGCCAGTACTACCCATCGTCTTAATGAATCATCACGACGCCCCGATGGTAGATCTGCCAAAGCAAACCACATAACCAAGGGGTGGCTCCCACGGTCCACTCTGCTGTCAGGGAAGTACCATTAGCAACCCCTGTGTATCTCTTGGCTTCGCGTCCGGCTGGGATGTCGGACGCTTATGAGCACATCAGTTTGAGATTTTGATTTATCTAGTTTCACAATACTTCAAAACTAGTTTGAATCGAAATAGTATTATTACTATTTACTGATTTCACTAAACTATATAAAAAAACTTCTTAGAATTTTGGACATCCAGTCAACATTATTATAGCAGGAATAACTCAAATAACTTTAAGCACAAATATGATATTAATTCTATTATACAAACGAAAAGCCACATATGTATAGGTTTATATATAAAGTATACCGAAATAACATGTTATATATAAAGTTTATGTACCCATATAAATTTTAGTTACAAGTTTGCAGAAGCAAAATAAAACTCTGCCAGCGAGATTCAGCTATAGGCAGGGCCGGATTATCCATAAGGCAGTGTAGACCATTGCCTAGGGGCCCCGTAGCGGCTAGGGGCTCCACGCATAGAAAAAAATTGAAAATATTTCATCGAGTGAAAATTTAATTTGACTAAATTAGGTAAAAGTTCTACTATGAGGACAAATATGACATTTAGACTTCTATGAAATCTACATAATAGCGTATTTACGTATATAATTGCATTATCTTAGAAAAAATGTATTATATAATTTAGAAAAGGATGAAGGGGGCCCCAAAAATGTAATTCCTAAGGGCCCCCGATATGGTTGATTCGAACCTGGCTATAGGTTTCTAATAAAACCTTCCAATTTGAGCTCTTATTTTTTCTTTTCAACGTCATTAAGAATTTACTCCCTTTTTACACATTATAACTTAATCTAATTGTAATAATCTTATTTCACCGACCAACCTCCTTCGTGTCTTCCCCATTGTACGTGGCATTGACGAAGTAATCTGTGCTCAACTGGTACGCTTTGAAGTTAATAACGAGAAAATTTTATGGAATTGATTCTTTTCAACGTTTCCCATATTTGTGTGTGTATGTTTGTTATTTCTTCATGCTAAAATGTTTAAAGGGATTTGGATGAAATTTAGTACACAGATATACATACCTACATAATGTGAAAAACATATAGGCTTCTGTTAGACATCTAGGGATGCACCAAAGCAAAGCCTGAGAAGTACCAAATCAGTACCAATAAAAATAAAGTGAAAGGATTACAAAATAATTTACGTATAATATTGTATATCAAATAAATAGATGATTTATAAAGAAAAAGACGTAATTAGTGATAAAGTTTTTGTTTGATGGGATTGATGTAATTTTTAGCTTTAATTATAATATAATTAAGAAACTGCGTAAGTATATAAGCTATTGTTAAAAAAACTTCTATATTCAGTAACAAAATATATAACAAATTGAGTAGTTAGAAAAAAATTATAAATATTATAAAAATGTTTCCCAAAACACTTGCTATACTATCCACAGTCATGTTAATTCAGGTAAAGTACTTATTATTATTTAATCCAAAATCTAATCTGCTGTGAATCTGACTTAATATTCAAAGCGTGTTTTATATATTATTAAAGTATTAGGATGTGCCCGCGGTTTCTCTTACGTAGTATATATATATATATATATATATATATAATTATAACTCAATAACCGCTGGACCGATTTTTATGATCTTTGTTTTGTTGGATTTGTCTTCATTCATTTATTCCATATAGCAGAATAACTAATAAAACATCGGAAAAAATCACAAAAAAAAAACTATTCCATACTAAGCGTCAAAACGTATCTAGGGACGAAACTGCGGTAAGTCGCTAGTTTAAGTGTAAATGCTCGTAAGGGGGTGGACAATTACATATACAGACAGCTAAAGCTTTAAAATAGCTCCCATACAAAATGAGAGTCAAATCTGCAATAAGTATAAAACTGCTACTACGTATTAATTTCTAGACATTTTTAATTTTACATTTTGTAAATATACATTATTTCCACAATTTCAGATTATTACCGGTCAAAGTATTAGACAATACAACTCTGCATATAATAATGAAATAGCCGCCAATATTGCTGATGCTGCGGCAGGAGTTCTATATCCTGGCATCTCTTATCCAGGCCAGGTACTCGCGCCTGGTGCCAATGCCATGTCATACGCACCGGATGCGGCTTTAATTGGCATAAATGGCTTATCGTATGGATTGACTTTGGCAGAATTATCCGCATCTCGAGGATGCAGTCTTAAAGCTAGAAGCTCGTCTCTCATCGCACCAAATGGAGTGACAGTGGAAACAGATAAAATGGCGATTGAAGGGCCGTTAGCTGTTAGTGGACAGTTGCCTTTCTTAGGAGTAGTATCTCTCGAAGGTCAATTACCAGCGGCTGGTGAGGGAGCCGTCACCTATAGCTGTGGGAATGGTGACGTTGGGATTGTAAGTGAGGGTGTGGAAGCAGTTGTTCCATCTTACCCAAATATAGCTCCAGGATATCTTAATACTGGATATCCAACTGGATTAGGTCCTTTGTATTAGGTTTTATTTTTTGTTAAATAAATTATTGTTGTATTAAAATTGTATAATTGTATTATTATTAATAGTATTCTTTTGGATGCCAAAAATATACACGATATACACGATACGTGAAGTTATAAGGCAAAATATCCTATAAATTGCTCAGAGAGTCGCTGAAGTTTTATATGTGAACCTATTTATATGTGAATTTTAGAAAACGCAGTACATACGTGTTGCCAATCTAAGAAAAATTTTGTAGGTAACTGGTGTATTCTCTTCTTTTATTAAAAAAATCTAATTAGGTTAGCTATTAGATTTGTTTAACCCTTCTTAAATATGAGTAACTTAATAGTAATTCACGAATATCGAAACGAAATCACGTCAATCTCTCACTTTGTTTCGACGTGAAAGAAGGACAAACAAACAAACACACTTTCTTATAATCTGTATCTATAATAAAACTAACTTAGTCAAATCGATGAACCATGAATGAAAAAGTACTTACTGAATCGATTTTAACTAAATTTTGTGTAATTAGTAATAACTTATTAATCGGGTCATCATTTAAGATACCTTTTACTACAGGCACATTTTTATTCCCATGGGAAAACGCAATGACTGCTTCTATCGAGTCTTCCTTAGAAATTTATATGGCTAACGCTGGCTAAACCTTAAACAAAACAATGTACTAGAGAACTGTAAGTCTTAAAAAGGTATATTTAAGTTATATTTAAGACACGTTCGCAATAGTATAAGTCTATCTCCTAGGTACATTCGTAATTACAATTTTATTCATTACTCGCGACTCACTGACTTATCAACGTTCAGCCCAAGCCGATGATGAAGACCAGCACTAAAAAAAGCCAGCCTGAGCTTTATATATCTCTGTCTGTCTGTCTCTCTGTCTGTCCGTCATTTTTCTATACCTGTTTTTATATAGCCTAAGTTATTCCTTATAACTTCATCTATCTGCCAGCGAAAGTCAAGTCTGCAGAGATTAGCTGCAACAAACAGACAGACAGGCAAAAAATTTAAAAGATATGTTTTTCTTATAGGTAGCGTATACTTACCGTTTTACTTACCTTTCTAACCTTTTGCCTTTTCCAACTTGATAAAAATACATGGACTTCGCTTTATAATTTAATAATTTCTTGGCCTACAATCACTACCACGTTTTGGCAATTTTATTGTTAAATCGTAGCTATTATTCCAGGTCAAAATCTGTCTGTGTTCTGTATTTCACCTAAATCCGTACAGCGGTTCAGCCGTTTTAGGTCAAAGGCATAACAAACAAATAAACTTTCGCATTTTATTACAGTAGCGTGATGATAGCAGATGTTTTCTTCTTTCTTAATTTTTTTTCCTGAATATATGTGATTCTTGGTACTGTATGTGTAGTATCAAATTACTCGTACGTAAATTTTAATGGTTTATTTTATACCGTCTTCAAAAAGTCAAATAATACTCTATCGTAAAATATTTATTTGTCTATATGTTTAGTCATTAACCAACTTTGTTGGTACCAATAAAATTTTAGAAAGACCTAACAATATTATGAATGTGAATTTGAAGTCGGTGATTACCGAAATGCTTCCTGAATACGTGCCTGTATAAAACGTCCCTGCTTGGGCAGTATTTACGTACTGCCGAAGCAGGCACAACTAAATGGCGTTAAGACACGGTAATGTTTAAAATAAATGTATTAAAATAAATGTATGCATAACATAAGATTTTCAAAAAAAAATTAATGTACAGATTCGGCTTAGTTACAATTTTATTATAAAGATAACATAGATATAGACTTATTAATATATTACTAATTTTTGAACCAAATACTTAGATTTTATGGTTATTTGGGCACGGGCTTGATCGCCAGTAATGTTAGTAATTCTAATAAGACCATAGAAAATTCATATCTACATATAATATATGTTTTCGAATGAAAATTATATATTTTAAAAACTCATGGCGACATCTAGTAATGGTTTTCTGATGAATGTACAGATTCGGCTTAGTTACAATTTTATTATATGTATAGATAACGTATAACAAAAACGTAATCTATACATATAACAAAATTGTAACTAAGCTGAATCTGTCTGTAAAAAAAGAACTATTCCATAGTTCTTTTTTTATATATTTTTTTTTGTGATTTTTGCCCGTAGTTTTATTAGTTATTCTGCATTTCGGGGTGAAGACAAATCCAACACCACAAAAATCATTGAAATCGGTCCAGCAGTTCTTGAGTTACAAGTGTTGTAACAGACAAGACTTTGTTTTATGCATATAGATTAGGGATCAATCATAAGGAAATAAATAGATATATTTTCTGAACAATTTTATTAATCAAATAATCGATACATATAACATAATTAACAACAATTGTTAACAAATTAACAATATTTTATATTAAAATATTACAATACACGACCAAAACCAGAGAGACCGGTATAGCCAAACGGTCCCGCCATGCCAGGGCCTAAGTTACTTCCTACGGAGTTGTAAGCAGTTGGGGCAACTGAAGGGTATTCCTCGTTCAGAATACCAACATTGCCATTACCACATTCATACATTACATCACCATTTCCAAGAGCCGGTAAAGAACCTTCTACAGCTATAGTGCCTAAGAAAGGCAGTTGGCCATTCACCGCCAGAGGACCTTCGATGACCATGTTTTCTGATTGGAGGAAAACTCCGTTTGGACTAATCGGAGATGAACTAGTCACTGAAAGCCCTCCTGATCTTGAAGCTGCTAGAGTTCCCAAGCACAAGCCTTGAGCATCATATGCCATTGGACTAGAAGGGCTACAAGCTCCATATGGCAAGTTTGGCATCGGGCTATAAGAGGGACATGTATCAACTATTGGGTTCATGCCTCTATTGCCATATAAGCCAGCATTGAATTTTCCAATACTTTGGCCGGTGATTATCTGGAATGATAAATACGAGTAAAACAATAAGTTACATATCCTTAATTATTTAATTGATCAGTAAATTAATTAATTCATTTAATTATATAAAAAATAGTATAAATCAATAATATTATATAATTGAATAAAAGAAAACAAAATAATATACGGAAATTGGTATATGTAAGCGTTTGGCACATGGTCAGAATATGCCATTCCAAAGTAGTTTCTTTTTATATATTTTAGCTTCTTCAATCGATATACATATAATTATATTCTCTTACTGTTTTACTACCACCAAAGAAAGTCAAAATTGATCTCTTTAAATATTGCTTAAGTTTAATCAGACATAATTCTGATAACAATCTCGGAATCAACTATTCCTTATGGGAACAAGTATTCCTTACAATTTAGAAAACTATTCCTAAGAATTAGAAATTTAAAGCATATAATATGTTTGACATAAGTTTTTTGATTCAACACCCTAATTTAATACATTACCTCGATGAAAATGGCGAAGACGGCAACAAAAATTTTTGAAGTCATGTTAATTCTTATAGTGGTATATAAAAATAACAAAACTGGAATGATTATTGCTGTAAATATTTGTCGTTTTATAGTAAAAAGCATCTTTGTTACTTAAATTAATGACATAATAATTCCTTATTGATTACGAACGATTTCATTTCATGCGTTTGTAGCTGTGGCAACCAAATGCGTATGATAAAATTGATAAAAAATATTCTTTCAATCAAACTTCAAAATTTTTTGTGTTCTACAATAATTATTTTTCGATACCTACATTTTAATTTAAGGGAACGTTTTAAACTAGTTTTAGTTCAATTTAACCAATTTCCAGATGTTGTATCTATTCGAAACATTGTTAGATATGTAAACTGCCTCGGTGGTGTAGTGGCTAGCATGTACGGCTGCACACTCGGAGGTCCTGGGTTCGAGTCCCGGGTCGGGTCAAGTTTAGTTATTGAGTCTTTCTGTATAGTAAGTCTCAGTAACAGCCCGGAGTTGGGAAGTTGGCGGTGTTTCACCCCCGTGCCTCGGAAGCACGTAAAGCTGTCGGCGCAGGACGCCTTAACTCTCACCGGTCGTGTCGTGCAGTCGTCCCACCGGAGTATGAGAGTGACAGGATAGAGAGTGCACGTTGTGTCTGCGCGTACACTTGTGCACTATAATATCTCCAGCGCAGTTGGCTAGTCTCAATGAGATTGGCTGCCGTGGCCGGAATCGGCTAGGAGAACATCATCAGATATGTAAAACCTGGATAATATAATAATTCTTTGATACTAGTAATGGAGCTAGGAGATGGATAAATTAATAATTTTTAATAAAATTTATAATCAAAAATTAAAAATTGTGACTAAGCCGAATCAGTACATTAAATATTTTTTGGAAAATCTTATTGAAATAAACATTATTATCCATACAGAGGCCGAGTTTTTAGAATTTTTGTCTGTCTGTATGTCTGTCTGTCTGTTACCGTATCCCAGAAACACCACTGGAGGGATTTTGATAAAATTTGATATTGTGATAGCTGGTTATCCGGGTCAACATATAGGATACTTTTTACCGCGGGAAAATGTCTCATTTCTGTGAAAAAATACAAAAACTGCAATGTAAGAATATACTAATATGTAATACCTAAGAATTTAGTTTTTAGTCATCTGAACGCGGGCGGAGCCGCGGACAATGCTAGTATCTAATATACTTAAACGAGCAATTTTTGTATATTTATTTATACCGGCGATCTAGGAAACAGCTCTAACGATTTCTCTGAAATTTGGTATGTGGGGGTTTTCAGGGGCGACAGATCGATCTAGATTAATTAATATATCTGGGAAAACGCATGTTTTCGAGTTTTCATGCGTTTTTCTTTTGCATTATTCCGCGCAAAATATGATCGCTAATTTCACACGCTCGATTGACAGTCACAGGTGTCCGGGTTCGAATCCCGATGTGATACAAAGTTTGTACTTTTTTATTTGTATTTTTTTATTTATTCTAGTTTTTAATTTTTTTTGTTTTTAGGTCAAATTGAAAAGAAAATTGCACTTTTGGATAAAAATTCTGAGCGTAGTCCGGTCGCCCTGCATATTATCTATTATATATCTATCGCGGAATATTTTGATATAAATGTGTGCGATTACTACGAGTTGTTAGTAATTACAGAATTTTAGAATACTATTAGATACTCACGTAAGATAAAAGCTTAATTATTGTATTGCAATATTGTAAACATATATTATTTTACAACAAAAGAGCAACTGCTGAGTCTCTCCGGCTCTTCTCAGCAGAACTGCCTTCCGAGTCGGTTGTAAGTATATTTGGTATTTGGTAAAAGTTTATTTTTTTCTACGTATTTTATTTTTTAAAGTACTAGCTGCTCACCCTCGCTTCTCTCGGGTTCGCCTCTAGAAAACCGCAAACAGATCTATCCCACGGGAACCGTTCGTTTTTCCGGGATAAAAAGTAACATATTGTTTGACCGGCAATATAAGGTATCAGCATGCCAAATACTAAATTAGGTTGGGTGGTTAAATTAGGTGCATAAGTTATTTTGTACTAATCTGTATAGGTAACTATAGTTTTTTAACTATCCCACGGGAACACTTTAATTTTCCGGTTCAACAGTTTCGAAGATTAGCCCGTACGAATAGATAAACAGAAAAAGAAACAGAGAAACAAAAAATGAAAAAAAAAAACTGGATTTGTTCTATTTCTCTTCTTACATCCCCCTGACTCGGTGTTCAACATTTTTACGATTACGATTAATCTATACAGATTAATAAAATTAAAGTGTCTGTTTGTAATGTCAAAATAATAGCTTTTTACTTAACGCATATGGAATTATATACGGTATTTATAAGAAAAACACAATTTTTAAATTTTTTGTCTGTTTGTTCAGGCTAATCTCCGAAACGGCTGGGCCGATTTTGACGGGACTTTCACTGGCAGGTAGTTGATGTTATAAGGAGTAACTTAGGCTACTTTTATTTAAGTAAAAGAATTAGGGTTCCGCTCAAAACCATTAAAATGTACCTAGGGGCGAACCCGAGCGAAGCGAGGGTGAGTCGCTCGTAAATAGTATAATAATATTCCACGATACAATTAGTAAAGGGTCATATTATATTTGGATTTATTTAATACTAGCGACTCACCCTCGCTCCGCTCGCATTCGTCCCTACTTACGTTTTAACGTTTAGTATAGATTACTGAGAGATGAGATATTTTCCCGCAGTATAAAGTATCCTATATGTTGACCCGGATAACCAGCTATCATCATACATCAAAACCCTTCCAGTAGTTTTTCCGTAATGCGGTAACAGTCAGACAGACAAAAATTCTTAAAACTGTAGATTCGGCCTCTGTATCGATAATAATGTCTATTTCAATAAAATTTTCAAAAATTATTTAATGTACAGACATTGCTTAGTTAGAAATTTTTTATATGTATATACTAGCGGCTCACCCTCACTTTGTACGGGTTTGTTTTACGTTTTAACGGTTAGTGATTCCCATAAAAACACAGTTCTGAACTTTTCGAGTTTCCAGCTATTTTTTTATGTTTTCCCTATTTTATTTATACTTAAACCTCCTGTCAAACTCCTAAAAAAAAAAACAAAAAAAAATTTTAAAATCGGTCCAGCCATTTTTGAGTTTTAGCGAGACTTACGAACAGCATTAGGTATATAGATTTTTATAAAAAAATAAATTTCATAAATCCTCTAAATTTAACTTTTGGAAGAATATTTAATATACCTACTAATTGAATTGTGCAATTGTGCAACAATTAGGGTGACATGTCATATTTCAAAATAAATTCTTGAAATTTGTTTTTAAGCAACCTCTTGATAATTGATTACAAATCTTGATACCATTTCTAAACATAACTATATATAAGGAATAGATTATTTAATAAGTTATCATTCCTACTCGAACTCGAAAAATGAAATTTTTGATATTTTGTCTACAGGCAGCCATTTTCAACGTGAGTTCATTTTCTTATATCTTCACGGATACTAGATAGCTTAGATTAGATCTTGAAGTCTATACAATTTGTGTCAGTCATTACGGTTATAAAACTAATATTTATGATTGCCAATTTTTCTCCATCGGATCTAATTGCGAATTTTTACAGGAAAATAAAATTTTTAGAAGTTTTATCTATATTTGTTTTTTTTTCAGAGTGCCTGGAGTATGTCAATATTACAGAATAATCCATTAGCGCCCAATTTAGGGCAAAACAATGTAAATAATTGCTCGCCAAATAACATACCAGCATTCAACACAAATTCTATTCCAAATTATTTAAGAACTGGCAATGCCATTTTGGCAAACGACCTCAATACAAATATGCTTGCCAATGCTAATACAGCCATAGTGAATGAACAGATGATTGGTCAGACACTTCCAGCAACAATAACAAGTGCTAATTTTATACCAATTGCAAATATACCCAGCGAAATGATCAATAACTTACCAATGTCGCCTATAATTTCAGAAATAATCCCATCTTTACAATATGGTGATATAACAATGTCCGGAGATTTACCAATAGGTGGCACGATAAAAGTATGTGGTTGTTTTCCAGTTTATGGCACGATAAATGTTGACGGAAGTTTGCCGTCTACTGGCACGGCAGTAGTGGCAGAATCGTTTGGTAATCAGCTATCAGAGGTCATATCTCAATGTGCCAATCAAGTTATTTTGTAATTTTGATAGTGAAATTTTGTAAATAGGGTTTTAAATTAAAGAATTAATAAACAATTTCTAATGACTCATGTTCTTATTTTTATTACTTGCGTGTCAAAACTAAACCCAAAGGAGGAAATGTTTGACCTATGCCGTTAACCTATATGTATGTCCAACTTTATGTTCCAAAGAAACTTCTAAACTACTTTGGTATTATTTACTTTAGATATCACACAGACAGAGATATCGTGTTTAGGCTCATTGAAATGGCCTCATAGGATAGGTTATTGTGTTGGATTTTATTTGCGCCGTGGGTTAAATGGTATCCAAGCGATATCTGACCATGAAATATTTCTAACAAACAATTACGTTTGTTTTATGCACAGAATATAATCCCTAAAACAATAGTTGTTGAAATTTTTGTCTGTTTGTCTCTATATCTGTTTGTAGATTTTTAAATAAAAAGTACTGAACTACAAGTCTAGTAAAATAGCCTTTATTTCCAAGTTGGGAGCATTTTTAAATTAGATAATCATTACATTAGTTAAACAGAGTTATAAACGTTTATATAATGTTCCTAAGCTCGGTATGCCTTTTGGCATAGGCCTCCTCCAATGCCTTCCATTGAGCTCTGTCCCTGCCCCCTCATCCCATCCCGCGGATACCAAAAAGTAACTTGCTTGCTCCATTTCTCCAGTTTGCACCTTAGTATATGACCGGCTTGCGCCCTTTGAGATGGTCTATACGAGTCAATATGTCTACAAGTTTAGTTTTTGATCTTATCTCCGAGTTTCTTATTTTGTATCTTAACATGATCCCTAGCATACTTCGTTCCATTGCCTTTTGGCAGGTTGCCAAACTTTTTTTGGGTTTTTCATTTAGAGCCCAGGTTTCGCACCCATATTCTAAACAGGGAAGAATGCAGGTGTTGAAAGTTTTTTTCTTGATATGCATGCTTATTTATTTGTTTTTCATAATCTCTTTGAGAGACCAGTATATTTGTTCCACCCACAAGCAATTCTTCTACGAGTATTTATTTCCTTTGACATTGAGTTTTTGGGGGTTATAATTTGTCCTAGATAATGTTATTCCTTCACATACTCAAAGCTGTTATCGTAAACTTGTGTGTTGGCTTCAGTGGAGTTGGTCATTAGCATTGTTTTGTTTGCATTCATTTCTAATCCCACTTTTCTGCTTTTCTACTCTAAGGATTTTATCATTTTTTCTAGTATATCTCTATCTATATCTTATGTCATATATTCTACGATGTAATTAGCCCACCATACCTTAATCTGACGGTTTCAAGTATTTCTACCTTATCGATTACTTAAAAAATATTTATTTTTATCGGTTGCCCTACACGCACGCCCTTGTATAGAGGACTTATATATTATGGTGGAGGTAATCAACAGAGTGCAAGGTGGGACATCTTTGTGTTATTTTGTGTACACCCTTATGTTAAGCTGCCGCGCTTGAGTAACTCCAAAAAATCCCTCTTGGGCTCCCCTACTAAAGTGAATGTAAGTCGAATGACTCCTGGCGATATAATAATTTGGTGCAATCAAATTGACCAGATGGTGAAGTTACGAGATGGATAATGGAACTTCAAGGGCATTTAAGAACCCGTTGAATTTGGACAGATTTTCCAAAAAAAAGCGTGTATATGTGCTATTCACACACGATAGAATTAAAACTTCAGAAAAGTAACATACGAGAGAATGAGATAGAGTTATCAGGAGTAAGGTAATTGTAAGGTTTTTTTTAATAATATTTTTACCAACTTTAAAAGTTATTTTACATTTTTTTTAACATTTTACATTACATATTAAGTATTTTCAGTATTATTTTTATTATTTTTCAGTTCCTGCGTAGTATATTCTATCTCATTCTCTTGTCGGCTTAATCCTATATATTTATGTCTGTCTTTCTGTCGTGACGCATTTTCGTTTCGTCGAGTTCCAAATCACGATGTTTCTAAAGAAGTTTCACTCAATTTAAATATAATTGTTAATATTACTTATACTTACTATCTTTTGCTATAATTCTAGTTTAACTTATGGGGATGTTTTATTAAGTTAATTAAGATGCTACTAGTTAGTGATAAGATGAAAACGTAAATAAGCAGCTATAATAAACTAGCAAAAAAAGCCTAGTTTCGGAGAAATTCAAGTACAAACGTCTTTTATATAACTACCTACTTTTGAATCGAGTTAGTACAGATGCCTCCGCATTTTATTATTATATTTAAATTTCTTGGAAAGTCTTTGTTTTCCAGAATATGTCGTATATGTGACTCAACATGCATTATTTATTCATTACAGTTTATTTTAAACACATTTATTTATATTGGATCAATTTAATTTTATTTATTTTTTAAATTATAAACGATATATTCATTTGTAATAATGATTTTTTGATGACTATATATTAGTCATTGGTTAGAAATTAAAAAATAGTGACGTCGCGTGTTTTATCGATATTATATTTTCACAATAATGCGACATAATGTGTAATTCAGTTATAACATATATTTTGTCGACTGTTTGTAATCGATGTGATAGTACTACGAATATCATTGATTTATGAAATTCTTGCAATATGTATATATTTATTATTATTTATACGTAATTATTTATATTTTTTTATAATATATATATATATATATATATATATATATATATATATATATATATATATATATATATATCATAATAAAAAAAGAAAACAAATATTATTAAGGAACTTTATTATCAGTATAAAGAATTTATATTCAATTTATATACCAGTTAACAAATAATACCTATATTAAAGACATATATAGTAAGTAAATAATAAAAAGTAATCAAGACAAACAAAGTATAGAATAATATATTCAGGGACCATAATGTTTATAAGAATAGATATTTGGTATAAGTATACATAAAATAAGAAAGCGTAATACATAATAATCATATTTAAAATAAGCATCCAATAATATTTTTTGCTTATATTTACTGTACACCAAAATGAAATAGAAAAAATATATCAAAATAAAAGTGATTAATAGAAAAAATATACACATAGCGGAAAAAAAAAATGAAAAAACTGAAAAAAAGATTTCTAAAAAAACAATTAAAATAGTTGTGTAAGTTTTTGTATAGAAAACGTTTTTGATGACTTTTTATAATTTTTAAACTTATATAATAAATGAATGAATAACTTTTAAACTGAAAACATATAAATATAAGGGATGTTTACATACTGCTTCTGTTTGTTATGTTTTGTTTGTATTTGCTCTTTTATACAATTTTAAAAAGACTATTCATGCAAAATAAAATTATTTTAGCACGTTTTTATTGGCTTAGCTTGTAACTGTGTGTACTATTGCAGATTCTGTAACTCGGTTGAGAATACACTAACTTGCTGATCTGATGTTGAACCCTCGAGTAGGATAGAAAAAATCTTATTTTTTCTCGAGTAGGACAGAAAAAATAAGATTTTTTCTATCCTACTCGAGGGTTCAACATCAGATACTAGTAAAACCTTGAGTTTGGGCTAATTTAATACTTTTGTACGCGTCCCATATATCGTTCTTATTCAAAATACAAATTCATCATCCTGGATCATAATAAGGGCATATTAAAGGCAGGATTGATATGGAAGTCTTCGCTAAGTAGCACCGTTACTCCAGAACTGAAGAACTGATTGTTAAAACTTTAATAAAGTTGATAGTGCAAGCATTCGAAATGTACTGTTTTACTACTCACCCTTCGATTACTATCGTAAAAAGTTTGTATATCATTTATTTCCAGTATTCACCATGAAATCTTTACCTACTTACTATTTACTTGAATATATACTATATATTATAATTAAATAAAATATTTAATAAAAGAGACATTTGAAATTGATCTGTACGGACAAGAGTAGATAAATTATTATAATTAAAGCTTCTATTGATTTCTCGAAATTGGCTCGTGGAATCTTTTTTTTTCAATTAAATGTTATTGGGAATTTATAATAAGAGTACGGGATAGTTATGGTCGACAAGAAAATTATAGCTTTTCGTAAATAACATGAAATATAGTAAAATGCAGTAGGTAATAACCATACGTGAAAGTATAATTATTTTGAAAGTGAAAAATTGACATGTGTTAAGAAAATGAAAAATTCTGGAGAAAGTACTAAAAGGTGGTAAATATTGTATCAGATTTAAGAAACTACATATAATATGTCCATAAATAGTAACTAAATCATTTTAGTATAGAGTAAATTGTTACAGATAATACAACTCTTTTTAAAAACTATGTTGTGTAAAACAATATATTCCAAAACAAATACATAATATAATAATTAAAAAGGTCTGCAAAATAATATTACATATAAATACATATAAATAGATACCACCCACCGATATCAGTTATAATACTGTTTTTTAAATAATGTAAGAACCATAGGGATAACCATAACCACAGCCACCACATCCGCAACCATTACATCCGCAACCACCACATCCGCAACCACCACATCCGCAACTACCCACTGCAATCGGGGCAACTATTGGGCACTGGCATCCGTATGGCAATTTGTCCGATAATAAGCTACTAACGGTGAGAAGTGACAAAGTATCAGCGAGGGAATTAGCGACTGTGTTGGATGCCACTAAAACTGGAGCTGAAGAAGAGCGTATGTATTGCGCATAGGTGCTCTGAAAGAAGAAAAAGACCTTGATTTATAAATCCTAAAGTTAGTGCACATTTGTAATTTAATATTTGCAATGTCAGATTACTTTTAATTTTTTTATAATCACTTTTTCTTAGATCTATCTATCTATGTACATATATTTCATTACACATTGAATATTATTTTAAATAAAAAAAATAGTCTCTCCCGTCACCATGATTGTTCAAAAGATGAACCAAAAAAAAATCGATATAAATCCACGAAAAAATTCATAAAGATTGTTTTATTTAAAATGTCAAATATTACTTGAAATCTTTCGCGTAAATATTTAAAAAACGATAAATGAAAAAATGAAAAAGAAAATATAATTTAATTGAATTAAATACGACTAAAATAAAAAATATAAATATAAAATAAGACTATTTCACTAATAAAAAAATATAAATTAATAATTACCTGGAGAGCGACAACTCCAAAGATTAATATCAACAAAGCAGCTTTCATTTTAAAAAGTTTCCCAGAATATTCTGTGACTGGGTAATACAGATATTTATATAGCATATATGTCATAATTTCTATCGTAATTTTAAGAAATAAGTAGACTTGGACACGAAAATATGTGTATTTGGATTTCTTGCGGCGATAAGGTACTATGTTATTTTATGTGGCAATCTTTGAAGTTACAAAAATTACAAAACAATAAAATTAAATTGACTACTAACCTTTATAATTCTACAACAAATACCCCAAATTTGTCGGCTCTTGTATTTGTATTTTGTAATACAAGAATCGACGAGTTTGGGGTTGTTAAATTTGGGGTTTGGTTGTCAAAAAAAATCATTTATTGTATTGAGAAACATTCATACCAAGTGTCAAGTAAAATTTACCATAAAAATATTATTTTCCATATTAACTCTAATCTTTTTAACTATTTTCATTCTCTTGGAATAGAGTCTTATGAAATTCTTTCGTTTTGGATATCCTGTCATGGGAGGCTCTGTCATAATTTCAAACCTTCCGGTAGTTTTAAATGTCTAGAAGCATTGAGAATTAAAAACTCATCAAAACAATAAAGCAAAGTGCCTTCTTTAAGTGACAATACAGTATACCTCCCGCCCAGAAAAGATACTTTTTTCCAAATTATTGATGAAAGCAAGAACAGTATCTTGAAAATATATTTTAAATATAAATTCTGTTCTTCTATGTAATATTTTAACATACGGTAAAGTAAAAAAACAAATACATATAATATAAAGAAGCAAAATAATCGAAGAGTGGACTAAACAGAACTTGACGTCATGCGCACGGAGGATTGCGCTTTTCGCGCATGCGTGAGGGGTTGTTGCACCACACGGGGTTAAATATGAAAGATAGATTTTTAAAATGTATAACTTTATATTATTTTATAAACACTAAATCATAAGTTTTAAATATGTAAAAATATGAGGAAAAGAAATAAGGAATCGAAAGTTAGAAAAGTCTAAGCTTACAATCCATTCCTCTACCAGCCTTTTTTTTGAACGTTGGGAAATGCTTTTACGCATACCGCTTGCATACATATAGTTAGTTATGTTGGAATCACCGGCTAGAAAAGCCAGTACCACCCATTAAAACCCAAAAGAACCTCACCTGTCTTAATGGGGCGTCGCAGGACCTCTTAAGCACTCAACCACCATGCCCCGATATTTACTAACATTAGACGCAAAAATACTTCATAATATAGGTCTAATTATTTTTTATTTGGACCCAGAAACTTCACTAACTAATATGTACAATGGTACATTAGGTTAAGTTAAATCTCAGTGATGAAATTAACCCAAATATGGCAGGTGAGAATTTCTCTTTAGGTCTTTAAAGGGTTCCGCAGATAAAAGCAAGAGCAGAACCTTTATAATTTTGTAATGTCCATCTGTGCGTGAAACAAGAATATTTTCAACCGACTTCACGAAGGAGGTTCACAATGCGCATGTACTTTTTTATGTTTGTTACCTCAGATCTCCATCCTTTATTAACCGATTTGGATAGATTGGACCCATTTGAATTTAAAAAAAAATACCAATCCTAGGGGTGGAAAAATAGCTAATGAAAATTTAACCCATCTTGAATTAAACTTTGCAAGTGTTTCTATTGCCGCTGATAGTGCAGTTCGTTATCGTTGTCCGAATCTGATGGTAAGGCCCAGAAGGTGGATAGGTGAAACTCTTCGACGGTTAATAGTAAATACTTTGAGTTTACGTTAGAATTGCATTTTAAAGCCTGATTTTTAGTGTTACTAATAAAAGCCAATTTTAGTTTGTCAGTCTTCATATAAAAATTGATATCAAACCAACTTAAACGGCTTACGCGAATATTTTATTAAAATATTTTCTTCTTGCTTTGCTAATACTGTGTTTCCTACACTAAAAATGGAAAAATAAAAACTTAAAAAATAAATAAAAGCCAAAAAAAAAAAAACAAAATTTAAAAAATAACTGATTGGTAGTTTTAATATGCTATAGATATTAGAAACCTAATCAGATATTTACGGAGTCGGTGCTAGTGGATACAAATCAAAGCAAACCAACTTTGAAAATATCTTATTGGGTATCTTTAATAAATGAAAACTACCAATTAGTTATTTTTTCATTTTTTGGGTTTTTTGGAAGTCAGTTTTTATACTCGAAGACTATGTGTCTGAAATTAGAGATTAAATAAGTATCTCTATAAATCCTAGAACATATCGTAGTCGAATTATGAATGAATTTTGTATACCTAGTGATGTTAGATAACAATGTATGGTATATTTGTTATTGTGGTTAGATAAAAATACACGAAGGATTGGACAGACAAAAGAACTGAGAAAAATTTAAAATTTTCCCATAAAATATAATTCATAACTTCTGTTTCCACAATTAAATGAGAGAATGTTAAGATTTATATTAGACTCTTCATCGCCTCCAGTCAACGGCCAATATTGATAGAAATTACACTCGATGAATGATGGCAGAATACCTACTTACACCACAGTCCATCGAGTGTACTCGTATTGAATCTCCAGAACTTAAACGAATTAACATTTAATTTGTGACTAAATTCTATATTTAAAACTAAAATTGTTATATTCAAACATAATTTCAAAACTTCACCCGTGTGGACCAAGTCAGAGCACACCCTGGGGGGGTGAGGTTTAGCAATCGATAATTTGACTGCGGTATTAGTCGAGAATGCGCTTTCAAACCTGAATGTCGTTACACGCCCCATCTCCCAGATCAACCCTAAACAGTTTAAAATCGTTTAATGTACGTAAAAGTGATAAAACCAAGTACACACAAGTAAATCCAAGCATTAATTTCAGTGCAGTGTAATTCAAAGTGAAGTTATGACGTTATATGCCTTACCGGCATCCAGTTACATGATACGAGAACAAAGGTTTAAAAACATTGATCCAGAGACGAGTAGTATGCCATCTTTAGTTTTTCGAAATCGGTGAGTCATTTCTTTATTTTTGTCGATAGCTTATCGATCGATATCAACTGCGGAGGAACTACGCAGCACTATCGATCCGTTCACGTTGACGTTACCCCGTGATATCCTCCATGTTTGTGAGGTAACGGCTACGTTTTGTTTTGTCTATTATCTAAAGATTATGTTCGTGTTTTAAATTCATGTCTGACTTATTGGATAGCTAATTGAAAGATGTAACTGTAAATATTATGGTCTGTAATTTATTAAAATATTTGCGTTTAAGATATAATACATAAGTACACATATTGATTTTATTAAATGAGGGCGGGTCAACGCGCTTGAATTTTACCGCTAGAGGCGCTAGTGTAGAGTGAGGTTTCTAGAAATGTCAAACAACACTGAATGTTCATTTTTTGCGAGTGAATATTTAACTTCACTAATTATTCGTGATTATTGCAAACATAATGTAATTCGTGATTAATAGTGGCAGACGCGGTACTGCTCAACAAATGTTATTGTTTTAAAATAAGAGCTAAGAAAAAGTCAAGATTTTACTTTTCTATTTGGTTATTATATTTTGTATATTAATTATTAAAACAAAATCCTGATAAACAGGTGCCACACTAACAATCATTATTATTATCATATTAAATTTATGGCCTGCAGCTCTAACAAATACCTTTTTAACGGCAGCGATAGGACTTTACTCGCCAGTGGCGCCAACTGGTGCCACCAAAACGATATCCCTCAATCAATATAGTATGATCAATGGAACATTTATTTTAATAGTGTAATTAATTATAATAATTTTAATTTAATTTGTTATAATAATATACAACAGCTACAGAAAACTCTTTGTAAATTATAAAAAATATATTTGAAATACATTTTTCGTTAGAAAAAACCAAACGCAATGTTTAGAACCATTATCATCATCACGTTTCCGGCGGCCATTACGGAAAAATATTATAATACGGCAAATTTTAAATGTACACTTGACACGTGGCCCGCATGAACAAACACGTGCACATCTATATTGGGTAGTGTATTGTAAATGACATTTGTTTTAGAATTGACTATCTCACAGCCACAGCTCACTTTCATTCGTCTAGCTGTTGTGAAACAGGCCTTTGCTGCGTAATTTCTCGAATCCTTGCGGTACGCCCGTGTTTTTGATTTTATCGTTTTGCAAAGGCTTAAATACGATTCGCCAAGATGACCAAGTTGATACAACAATTAAGTTTTACTAGTAGTAATTATTACTACGACGTTGCTGATGTCCTAGTCGAGCCCCAATCGCCAAAGGAAAAAACCTTCCAGTAAGTATGCTAGATATTTAATTATACTTTATTTTCGTTATATAACAAATATTTGGTTGTATTTTATACATTTAACGTTAGGTACGCATATGAAATAAAGATGTCGTCCTTGATCTAATATAATACGTCATCACCGCTATTGCTGATTAATAGTCCACCTACCTACTTTTATTTCCTTATTCTTAACAAATTCGATAAGACCACTTGCTTATGTGCGTGAGGTCAATCTATTTAATATACAGTTTATTACGAACATGATTATAAACGAAAATGAGAATAATATGGTTAATTAATTACAAAATACGAAAACAAATTGCGTTTTTACCAGCAATTCAAAGACAAAAGAAAACGTACAATCAAAGATTTTTTTAATTTTCAAAAGATTCTCATCGACTAGTTCAGAACAAAAGAATGTACATAGATACTTAATTACATGTACATTTAAATGTTTTGTGGTATGGAATGGTTAATAAAATGGTAACATTTTATATATATTAAAGCTATACTAAATTTCCGTGGGTACAATTTCTGTGCAGTCATGCTCATATGAATTCCTTTAAAACATTTCTTAATATTAAAATAACATACATAGGTAATCACTTGTTTTTGAAATATGCTCTTAATTTAATGTTTCGAATTCCTAATCATAAATATACAATTTTATTTTCCACTAGTGCCTTACCCTAGCTTCACTTGGGTGTGGTATGGTTTAATTTTTTTGAGAGGAACCATAATTCTTCT